AGTAAGCTAAGTTCTATAAAAGTGCTAATAAATATAGTTTATATATTAGAAGTAATCTATAAGGATTACTAAGGCAGTTAGATTATAGTAATCCTAAATTATAGTAGTTCTTAAAGCGTTATAATCTTATCTATAAGGTAATCTAGCTTTAATTAGTCTATAGCCATTATAGGGCTAATGCCTTATATAAGTTTTTATAAGGTATATATAACGTAACTGCTAGGGTCGTAATAGGTTGGAGCTTGGGGTTAGGGTTAGGGTTAGCTTAGGGTTAGCTTGGGGTTAGCTGCCTGTTTAGCTGTTTTTACTTATGGTTTTGCATAAACTGTAGTTTTGCGTAAATAGTCTGTGCCCTTGACTTTTTAGGTTAATTAGCTTATATTAGAATTAACCCTAACCCTACTTGCCATTGTGGTTTACCGTAAACCCGCCCGGGACTGGCAACTAGGTCTGGCATATACGGCAGCAGAGAAGCTAGAGTTCTGACTTATATATAAAGTACTTTATTACAAATAAATTTAATAAGATTAAAGTCTTAACTTAACCTTTATATATTATGAGCTATTATGCAGTATTAATACCTTCCTTAAACCCCTTTATTTTATATCGGCAGTTCGAGTTAAATATAACCTAAATATAATAAGATATATAGCTATAGCTATTACTAAACTTTATAAGTTAAGAACGCGCTTTAGTTAGCCATAGTAGACTAATTTATATTTATAAACTCTATTACCTAATAACTATATAAAAAAATAACCTTAAAGTAAATTTACTATATAGCTATTAATATTATAACTTTATATATTAATATAAGTATTAATTAATTTATAAGTATTTCTTTTATATTCTTACCTATTTTAAACTTACTATAGCTATTATAGTGCCTAAAATACTAATTATTAGCACCTACTTATTTTAATTATTATAATACCTATATTTTACTAATACTATGAAATTTCCTATATAAATTTAATTATTAGCAGGCTGTTAATGTAAATAATAGTCTTAGGGATATTATAGGCTAGGTAAAAGGTTTGGCTCTTGTTATCGGCGACCTAATAACTAGCTCCCGGATTCTCCTAGTAGGCATAAGACTTTATATAAATAAGTTTATATAAACTAGGAATCTCCTACTAAGCGTAGTCTAGTAATATTTTATAAGCTACTAGTATAATAATATTATTATATAAATCTCTAAATTAATTTAAAAAAAGACTATTTATAAAAGCTAGTATAAGTAAGTAACTTCTATTAAGGAAAAATATAATTATATTAAAGTAAATATTACTAATAAAGAATAACTTAATAAAAGTATATTATATATATACTAGATTTAGATTATAAGGTTAATTAATTTAATTAGTAAAGATATTACTTTTATATAATAAGAAGAATAATAAGTAAAACTAGTTAGGAGGCTAGATAGCTAAAAGAGTTTTGGCCCTAAACTAGATACTATTAATATCCTACTGGCATATAATAGTTACTAATTCTAGGGTAAGGGAAGCTTATATATTATAGAAGAAAAGCGGCTTTAATAGTTAGTTAGAGAGGAAGCTCTCCTATTTAAAAAAGGAGCCGTAAGGGTTATATATCTGCGCCCTAAGGTTATTAAAGATAGAGTATAAGGGCAGAAGAGAATGCTAAAGGTATTTAATTCTTTCTTAAAGTATATAAGCATATTTAGGCTTAGTAATCTTATATAAATATAGACTTATATTAGGTTATATATTAGTATATTTATACTTATAAAAGTAAGTTTATAAGAAAGCTAGGCTAACTATAGTTATACTTATATTTATAAGTAAAAAATAACTAAAATACTTTTTTATATATACTGCTTTATATATATAAAAAGTCTATACTTTCTAATATCTCTTACTAGTTAATTAAACAGAGAAAGCCATTAAAAACCAGGTCATAGGGGTTAGTAGCTAACAGAGCTAATAATAATATAAACCAGGCTTATATATTTGGCCTTTATAAAGAGGGACTTACTAATTCAGAAATAGGATACTTATATTAATATATTAGACTAGATAATAATATTACTAAGTTTACTGATTTTATTATAAAATAATCCTTAAATATAGAGACTTTAGTATTATTATTAATAGAGGATTTTAGGCATTATAATAACTATAATTATATATATTATTTTATAAAATAGGTAGTAGTACTAAGATAGGCCTAAGGTTAGTTAGACTATAAGTTATAGCATTTAGCTATATTAACGCATTACCCCTTATATTAAGGGCAGAGAGCTTGGCAATTAATAGCAAATTATAGGATCCTTTATCTTATTATATAGTTAATAGCCCCGGATAACTTAGCAGTTTAAAAGGCATTAAAGTTATATGCCTTTTTTATACTAGCAGATCTATAAGACTGTAATCTTTATTTATATATAGTTAATCTAGTTATATAAGCCTTATTATTAAGCTACTAGGCAGTAAATATAAATTAATAAAGAACTAGACTTAAATAAACTTATAATAGCTATAATAGTTTATAATATAAATAATATAGGCAGTATATAATTAATAATTATATATAGATATAGATTTAAAGCATGTTCTTAAATAAGTTATAGTATCTATTTTATATAAAGTGCTTCCTGCTATTACCTTTACTATTTTGCTTTTTCCTATGCAGTTAATGCTTAATAACCTATCTTAAGTAAGAATTATAAACTAGTATATATTATAATATATTTTATAAATTCGCGCTTTACTATTTCCTCCTATACTTATTTATATTTACTTAGTTTATAGTATTCCCTTTTTTCCCCTTAAAATAGCTATAATTATAATTAGCTATTATTTATATTAGTATGCCTTTCTTTAATAAGTTTAAAAGACTATTTATAAGATATAGGCTATTATAGTTTATAAACCCTGGCAATTTATTATATTTAATTAGACTAGGAAATAAGAAAGTTATAGTAATAGTAATAGAGCTAACTAGGTTATATTATAATTAAGATAGGTAATTAGTTTAAGGTTAAGATATTAGTAGTTATAGCAGTTACAGTAGTAAGGAAGTATATTATATTTAGTAAAATAAATTAGTAAGGTCTTAGTTTAAAAGGGCATTTCTTTTATAATAACTAATAATAATAAATATTTAAAATAACTAACTTATAAGTTAAAATAAGGAAATATTATAATATATATCTATAATATTATTTATTTAAGTTTAAGTTTATTTTTATTTTATTTTTATTATTATATAATAAGTAAGATTATTCCTTAACTAATATATATATACTTCTAATATAAATAAGAGGTTCCTTATATAGAACTATCTTTATTTATTTATAATATAGTTAAGCTGCTTTATTATTTATCTTAATAATACTGCCTGCTAAGGATATATAAGGTATAGCAAATTAAAGTATTTTCTTATTTATTATTAAGGATATAATAGGGTTCTTTTAATTTTATAATATATTATATTAGCTGCTTAAATACTTAATAAGGTTCTTCCTATTTTATAATTCCTCTTATTTACCCATTTCTTAAGCCACTATTAAGGATTAAAATTACTAAATATAAGATTAACCTCAAATTCTATCTTTACTTAACAGTAGCCTCTTCTATTAGTATATAAAATTCTCTAGCATGTTCTAAATAGTTTAATTACGCTAAAAAGTATCGATTGATCCACGTTTTATTTCATGCACTAACGTGGTTGATTTACTGTGGAATTTCTCATTGTATTGTTCAACAAACACAACGCCGCCCCAACCCGCACCCTCAACGCATGACTGATACATATATATATAGATCTCATATACCTTTGCAGCGCGTCGGGTACTTAATTTCGGGTTATTTTGAAGGGCCTGAAGGGCAAGGAGGGTTCTGGCTTCATTTGAAGGTTGTGGCATTGTTAATTGTTGAGAAATATCTGATCAGATAAAATGTATGATATAAGAGGGAAAAGTGCGTCGCTTGCTTATTAAACACGTTAATATTAAAATAAATTATATATTAGCTTTATATTAAGCTATATACCTTTTTTCTATATTTTAAAAAATCCTATTTACCTAGAATTAAGAAACCCTTATTTATAATATATTTAATAAATTTTTTAAAAAAATACTATTATAGTAATAACTTAAAAACTATTTATATTATTTAGTACTTTTACTATATAAAATAAAGCTAAGCCTAGTAATATACTTAAGTAATATAGGGTAAGTTTTTTATTATTATATAAGATAATATAGCACTTACTTATTTGCAACACTTACTTATTATATATATTAAAGTTATTATATATATTAAAGTAAATTAAAATTTATTAAGTAATTAAAATTTAAATTATTAATGATTTTTTATTATATTAATATCTTTTTATTTTAATTAAAATAAATTTATAATTACTAAATAATATAAGGTATTATTAGTACGGTTAGGAGTAGCATGCCCTTAATCTTTAGTCTTGCCAGCTATTTACATGTTTCACCTGGTAAAATGGTCTGTCTGTAGTTTTTACTAAAAGTCTGATCCTTAGGCCGTGGCCTGTTAGTGCAGTACAAAGGCGCTGATATACAGTATCTCCTTGGCTGGATAAGTTATGCTTTCTTTTTCCAACAGCCTAGCAACGCCACACATCATCCATTCCTAGCTCAGAGCCACTTAAGCCCCTATTAACTGAACCCTGGCTTAAACCCGGCCGAATCATAAACCCAGCCTTCACGCCTCCTCATCTTGACGCTGACTCATAACCTTGTCTCTTTCTAACATACGGTGCTTGATCGACTATTTCTCATCTCCATAAGGCCTTACTACTGCTTTCGACAGGGGCGCCACTGAGACTTGATGACGAATGCTATTACCGCCACGGATTCCCAGGCCATCTTACTCTTGCCTAAAGCTCATTCCAATCAATCCCAATCCCCCGTTTAATTACCCTCATAAGCGCGCAGAGAGCTACTTCTTCTCCCATCTAGTCCTCAAGACTTAACCGAATTGCTTTTAGTCTTGCCCTTAATGGACCAAGACGCTCATCTGCCGCACGACTCGCTGGGACCGCGGGCTCTAGCTATCGTCACGCCCTTTCTTATCATTGCCATTATCGTCTTCTCAGTGCAGATCTACACTCGCGTAACCCCAGTATATAAACTAGATGCCTCGGACTACACCATCTCAGTCGCCATCGTGAGTACAAGACAATCTTAATAAATAGGTAAGACTCTGATCCAAGTGCAGCTTATCGAAGTCATCGTCTACTCGCTCTTCATAGCAAGTGTTACTTCCGGGTTAGGCCGCCACAGCTACGATATATCTCCGGAGCAGGGCGTTAAGACCCTTCGATATGTTTATGTGGTTATCTTACTATCAACTTTAGTGCCTGCCCTCGCCAGGATCTCGGTCGGGTGTCTACTTCTAAAGTTCGCATCGACCAAGGCCTAGCACGTAATCATCTGGTTAATAATTGGTATTCAAGCTGCCTGCATTATCGGCACTAAAACCTTCCAGCTTATCCAGTATCGACCGATTAATGCCCACTAGGAAGAGGTTCTAGATACGCAGTGCTTAAGTATACAGCAGATTTGGATATATGGCTACGCGGCTATAGGTAAGTTATTAACTACGAAATTAGCCCTTATTACATAATGCTAACTCCTCTTGCAAGGAGTTGCTTTATTCGGTAACTTGACTTTAGCAATTATCCCAATATTCTTAATCTGGAAGCTTAACTGATTGACTGTGGAATGGTATCTCATTACTGTCTTAATGGCGCTTAGCCTGGTTATGACTATTACCGTCATTATAAGACTTATTAAGATATATACATTGAACTTTACTTCTCTAGAAAAGTTCTGGACTCTAATACTAATATACTTTTGGCTTTAAATAGAAGAGGCTATTCTAATAATAGCTTCTTCCGCGCCGATACTCAAGTCCCTAGTTGAGCATGCCCTCCATTAATTCGGCCTACCTACATTCCAGCCCAGGATTAGGAAATTAACCTCATTTCACTCCAGCACCCTAACATCAGATACAACACCACGCTTGCACTATCAGCAGTCACAGCAGGAGCTACTAGGATACAAGCAACCTTTCTTTATACATAAGCCCCGGCTTAAAGCAGCAGAGGACGGTCCAACAATATCGAACAATATATAGCCTTTTAGCGATATTCCTAAAGCACTAGCGTGCTGATTATCTCATCATAAATTATAGCAAAGCGCTCTGTAGCCTAATCTGATAACTCGACAGGAAATACGGCCCAAAAATGGAAATCTTTTTAAATCCAACCTATAGGTTTCGCAAAACTCGGACTCAAGTTACCCTGCTATATAGTGGATTTTCGGGATACTAAGGCCTTAAAAATGCAAAAGGGAAGAATATTAAGAGTTCCTATCCTATCCAACCAAATCCCAGATCCTCACGACGGCCCCCTAGACGAGCCAGATTGTATAAAAATGCGATAATATCACGCAGAATCGCCAAGCGGCTGCGTAAAATAACAGATTTCAGGCAAAGCAGACACAGTCAGGCAAAAAAGTAATAACCATATATAAGTCAATTATAACAAAAAGAAATATAAAGTTAAAGACTATTTTCACCTAGCTCTTAATCCCTCTTATACATCCGCCACGGCTACATTAATCTCAAGCCCTAACGATCTAATACGTTGCTTAGCATATCATCTTCTATAAAACGTATTAACTAATTAATCCTAGTTTTTAGAGAAGCAGTAGCTCCTGGAGTAACATATAAACATAATTGTATTATAAGATACTATTAGCCTAAGCATTACCTAGTTATCCTATGCAGTCGCCTGCACAACCCGAAATTTCTGCTCTATATAGATTTCTCCTAAATCCACATCTACGCTCATAATATAACTATATATAATCTTTTCCTTAAACAAGTTCTATATCGCTCCTGTTGCTCTTCTTGCTATCTGACCTAGAATCGTCCTCCGAGATAGACCCTTTGCAGTTGCATCCAGACAAGCCACAATCCGACCCACCTATCTTATCAAAACCTAGAGCCACCGGTATCCTCGGAGTTCTGGGGGTGTGGTAGACGCCTTAGGTATGAGAGGCCTCCGCCGTTGAGTTCTTAAACCCGGCACGAAGGTAGGATCGCAAGGCCAGAAGACATACAGTTATAAGGGCGATGTTCTCCTTAAGGGCAGTCTAAAGTTCTAAATGGTAGGATGGCATATTAGCGACGGGAAGAGATAAGCCGCCAGGCATTCTTATATATCAGAGTAAGTGGCTTAAAGGACATAGGGTTGCGGATGATTATAATAAACCCCGTTAGGGAGAATGCAATGCCAATAAAATTAAGGAGAAAGATCATAACGCCAATCTTCACCCTCTTGTTCATCTAGAGGCCTTGCAAGATGAAGAAGGGAAGTATTGTAATTAGAACCGATGGCTAGCGGGTTAAGGAAAATAAGACAGACTAAGGAGCACGAACTAATAATGTTCCCACTAAAATAAAGGGAACACGCAATAATAAAGCTCGCTATGCAATCACGGAGCTGCAGACAGTGTTCCGATTTGAATTAACCGCCCTAATAACAGTGGAGAAAAGAATAAGCCATAATAACTACTATGGAAAGATTTTGGAATCTGGTTTTTTACTAATTGCCTTCAATAAGCCAGTATAGGAAGAGCTGGGTGCAGACGGTAGCTAAATTGCCATAGACGCAATATACTGTAGTACCGTAGAGACTCCATCTCAAAGCTATCACGAAAATAGGAAATAGTTAGTAATACGTTTTAAGCAGAGGGGACTTACAGGAGTATAGCGCTATAAAGAAGGGAAAGGCGCTTGCCTATATAATCTACTAAAGTGGTAGGCATTAGATTCTAGGCGGATATAAGCGGTTATTAAGTATATGCTTATCTTAGTAGAGTTCGAAGAGTAGAAGAAAGGGAAGTATACCTTTAAAGCATACTATATCTCACTTGCGCTAACACCCTAGTTAAGCAGAGTTTAGTCGTTAGTTAGGCCTAATGCACCCTTAGCTGTTAGCACGATAGCTAGGACTAAGTATGCAAGATAAAATAACAAGGGTTGGTTAGCCACTAACATCTTCTCAAGTATCTATCTACAGATTAATAAAGCTCCGCTTCCATATCATATACAGTAGTCTTTTTACAGGCCATATTTAAAATCTTTACATTTCCCTTTTATCTTTAAATACCATACCCCAACTATCGCTTGCATTTACCAGAGCGTTTTTCCATTATAACCTTATTTCAATCCACCATAATTTCCAAGGAAGAGAAATTCGCTTGCAAAAGCTACATCCATGGCCATCGCGTTACTCAATATCAGCATACAGGTAAGTATAACATCTTTAATTAATCTAGATAGTAAGACCATCTACTATACGCTGCCATAGCTGACGTCAAGACGTGCAATAAGACCGCCTACTTCTACAGGTTAGTAAAAAGGGCCGCCTAATATCGCAATACACTTACTGCCGCTCCCTATACACCTCGCGATCTGTTCACACGAAATGCAAATACGCATTAACATCGCACCAGGCCATATTAAAGCAATTCAGAAGAGGTTCGACCCTACCCTTAACCCTACCTAACTATCTGCAAGTAGCGCCCATTAACACCTCCTTATATATAGAACGATACGCCTGCTCAGAGGGCAGCTTATATAAATATGCATACAAGAGTAATCGGGGAGCTATAAATGACATTCTCTCAGTAACATCCAGATACAAAAGCTCTACACCATCTACAGCCTTATCTCCTCCCAGATTTAAGCCTAAACCTTTAGAACTTGCTCCCCTCCCGCTTCAATCAACCTCTACCGAGAGACTGGCGCCAGCTTACTATAGCGCCGAAAGCGCCGGCTTAATTTTAAGATCAAGTCTTCCGATCGTGAATAACTGGCCCTTAGACAATATGCCTATCGCATAGACGACTCCATTAGAGAGCTACTTGCCTAATTCTGTGCTTTCTAATATACATAATCTAACAGGAACTAAGGATTCAGTTCTAAATATGGGCGCAATCAAGCAAGCTTAGATAAGTAGGCCGACGTTCGATAATCCTTTATTGACCGTAGATATTCTTAGCCTAGGCGATCTCTTTATTAAACCCGATGCTAGTTAAATGCTTGCATTAGATAATTCAAATCTGTTAGACTTTCAAACAACAACCTATTACAATCATAGACAGTGGTTCGATAACTATAACTTTATGAATTCCTAATATTCTTCGCTAATTAGTCTAGTCTAATCTAGAGGCTATGATTATATGCTGAAATAGCCAGGGTATCACGAGATAGAAGGCGTAACAGGTTCAGTAGCTTAAATCAATATCAAGTCATTAAGTCTCTGCTGCTAATTACCAAGAAATTAGCTATACTGCCATTTCAATATTGCCCTCTGACTTCAATTCTCTACCACCTGTAATAACCTTGCCAGACCCCGAGACCGCATATCAAATGGCTTCAAATGATTCATCGTCCGAGGCACTCACGGTGACCTTTTGTCCTCCAACAGATGTTTCTACTAACTCTATGCTAGGATAGTCAGTAAGGGATTTTTTTTCTTTTTCTTTCTCACTGTTGTGACACAGCCTATTTCGTATCAGTTCTACCTCTTAGTTTACTTGCAATCTTTAAATCTTACTATTACAAACCATCTTCACATCATACTAATAGGACAACATTGCAATAGGCACGATAGAGTAGTATGAATTTAAAAGCGAATGACGTAGTAAAAGTGTTAGCGAGATTAGTCATATAGACCCGAGGGCGATATCAGAAGCTCTAAGCATGCTTATAGATAAAGAGGATACTAATATATAAACAACTTGCTAGCCTCAGTAGGTGCAGGGTATCGAACATTACTTATCACCGTCTTAGAAATTCAAAACGCCTCGCATAAAGCGCTTATCAGCTCCCAATAGCCTAACATGCAATCAGCCTATAGCTAGTTCTCTAGTCTTAGCAAGCCGCTATTATTGCCCTAAGACGGGGAATATACATGCTTGGGCCTGATTTATGCAGCCAATTAGGCATGCCCCCTATATGGCGAGGAAATTATAATCAGGAAACGTCACCTAATTTAGCGCACTAGTCAGCATTATTACACATTACTCGATTTACGTTTGCCAAGTTGTCCTTAGTATAAAACTCCATGTAGTTTAGAAGATTTATACTAATTGTTTCCTAAGTAATAGCTTACCGCCATATAACTCACTTATATAATACGTTATAGAAGGGTTAGAAATATTAGTATATCGAAAATCGCTACGTTCCTCTACTTCAGACCTCTATTAATTCTGCCTTAATAGCAGGCAAGTATTTAAGATAGTAAAACTACGCCTATATATACTAGGGGACTACTATCTGACATTTCCGATCTTTAAGGCTTATACTGCTAATCCCTTGACGCTTTTTAATACCTGTTAATTCTGCCTACCAACCCCTATTAACTCCAACCCGTATAAGGGACTAATACGCTGGCTAAATAGAGTATGAGTAGTATTGTTAATATGGGGAGGTTGTACCCGCAGCTGTAAGGCAAGAGATCAAGCAATTTCCCCTTATCTTAGGAGTGGGCTTATCGATAGAGATTTGTAATTTCACAGGAGCAATGTGGACAGAGATACTTATACAGTAAGTGGCCAACGTATGCTAACGCAAATAGGGGCGAGACTGTTGGCTGTAACAATTAGGAGACGTTAGGTAAAAACTTATAATGTAGTTAAACAATGATCGCTAGAGATTAGCATTTTTTGTTTTCTTTCTTATAATTCTTTTATTAAACTGCCTAATTCGATACCTTAAGGCAATATAAAGGTAGGGTTAAGAGCAAATTATGCTATGCTGACTAAAGCGGTCATCGTGACAAGTCGCAATGAGATCCCCAAAAATAGTTGCCAAAACGGCATTTAAAAAAGCAGAACTAAAAAGTTTATTGCGTTTTAATACCGCAAATTCAGCGCTCGACCTATACCATGCCATGCCATGCTTTGCAAGTGTCCGGCCTATACAAACCATTCATTCTGTCATCATGTCAGGGTAGACTGGGGCAGTATATAGGTGCTTACTCCTCATGCAAGGCACAAACTGCACGCTATAAAGAGCTTTATCTTACCTAATAAAGTATAGTCACTCTCTTTTATCTAGAGTAGGAATCAGCAGCATAAATAATGCAAGTCTCTTAATAAGGAATAAACTAGAGTCCCTAGTACCGGACAGTAATATTAAGAAGCATCTTAGTCTACTTATCATTAGTTAACAGTAAAACCTTAAATACTCATCTTTTATATATTAAGATATGAGGATAGCTGCTAGTAAAACAACTCTAGCATATCTAGCCTAGTAAGTTAACATTATAGCAGAAAAGTTATAATTATTATCCTTCCAAAGGATAACATTCCTTATCCTAAATATTTATTATCCTACTTGCACTTCTTTTATAGCTAAGTTACTTAATAGTTTAAGCCCTAAGCTATCCTCTATAAAAACTACTATTATCTCTTAAAATATAACTATAGAATATAGTCTAGCCCTTAATACCTTTACTATCTCTAAAGTGCTTGCAGATACAGGCTATAAGGTAAACAGCATAATCCAGGAAGTAAGTTAAAGGGCCTTTATAAGATAGCATCACGCAGCTCGGCTAATAACAATTTTCCTATTACTTAGTATAACAGTTACACCTAGCCACTACGCTACAGGGCAAAAGATTAGCTAATAACTGCTATTATAGCAATTACAGTAGTGCATATAGCTACTTATAGAAGCTTACGGTAAACCAAGCCGTAACACAATGCTCCCTCCCTAGTGGCTTATAACCTGGAAGCCAACCCTCAAGCATATACCCCGCAGTACGCCAAACCGCATTACAAGGGTAACCTTATTATTACGGCTTGGTTTACTATAAGCTCCTATAAGCAGCTATATATACTACTATAATTGCTATAATAGCAGTTATTAGCTAATCTTTTGCCTTATGGCGTAGTAGTTAGGTATAACTATAATAAAAACCTCTAAGTAAAGTAGCTTTAGGTAATTATTATTACTTAACCCTTACTCCACTTACCAGGCTTATCCCTGTATCACCGCTTTTATTCTAATTTACTTAGCTACTTCAAAGATATTAAGCAAGTCCCGTGAACTACAGTGCCTTACCTAACCTAGCCTCTTAACCTATGCCAAATCGCAGTCAATATCCTCTTCTAAATCACCCTTCCAGAGTCATATAGCATCCTCTTCCTCTAATCTGGTTTAGCTAGCCGCAATTATCTTTTCTATGGTTCTCTATTATGCAATGCTAGCTAGGTCTAATGCGTTATTCGTGTCGCTACAGTCTCAAACGACCTAGTAGCGCGCATACTTTTTGCGCCTATCTACATCTATAACCGCACCTCAGTCTACTAAATCGATATAGCGCTGTATTCTTTTCCCTAGTAACAGATAATATTATCTTATATAACTATAAGATACTTATATATAGCGTAACTATATCTATTTAATATAGTAAATAGTTTAATAGCTAGGCTATTGTCTTCCAGCAAAGAAGTAAGTATTAGGCCAGATAGCCCTATTGCACTATAGTAGTCTTTAATATCCTTTAGCACTTTGCCTTTTAGCTAATGCTCTTATTAAAAGTTCGAGCTAATTAGGTCAAATAGCTAGTTTATAAAGCCAATAAAGTAGCATTTAATACTGCTTATTTAATTAGATAATGCCCTCTATATTATTACTAATTTCATCTAGCTATTCTCTGTAACTACATATAACAAAGTAGTAGATATTATTCTATTTATATTCCTACTTATTAGGTACTCTATGCTATATAACCCTTACCCTAAATCGGCGCTAGTTTACTACAAGCACTAATCAGCAACTCGGCGTAAGCCAAAGCCATAAAAGCCAAATCAATTAACCCTACTAACCTATTTTAGTAGACGATTTAACTTAAATCGCCTATAAATAATACCTAGGCTAGAGATCAATACTAAAGCATAATGGCGACAACTACGATAGCAATAAGTATGGCAGAAGGACCATAACGACTTACAATTAACTCCATTACTCCGCTTCTATCTGCAGTTTTATTGTATTATCTAACCAGTGCTGGAAGCTAGTCTCTACCCTCGATAAGCACCATAGCCATGCCAACCTATTTCAATATCAGTAAGCAGAATCGCACCTATTAATTAAGAAACTTATAATAATATGCTACTAAAGATAATAATAGAACATCTAAGCACCAGGATTATCCGTAATATAACTATACAGTGATTTCTTAGCCGCAGTGCAGATATTAAGCTCCTCTCAACGAGACTTACCAGATTGCAGCCCACCCTTGCAAAGGGAGGCCCATCATATTACGGTAAGGGGGATCCCGAAGGTTAATAAGGTCCGCTGGCGCGTCTATGACAGCTGCATACGGAAAAGATCCCTCACCAGAACCTAGAACCCAGAACTTATGGCCATAGAGGTATATCAGATGGCCCATCTTCCCAGTTATATCAGTACTTAGTAATCAAGCGACACTACTTCCTTAGGCCAGACAGGGGGTAGAACGCACCATATCTATAGACTGGTTTGAAATGCTTATAATAATATCAATAGTTAAGTTAATAGGTAAGTGCATAGTCGTGTTTAAATTCCAGCCAGAGGAGTTTTCCCCATAGATAATAGGGACATCTGGCTCCGAGAACGGAGCATGATCGATTACCCAGGTCACAATGTCTGTCTGGCTCACGACAAAAGACAAAGCCTTATCAGGCCGCCCCGAAGGTGGCGAATTGTGGCCATCGAATGGAGAGAGTGCCGAGGGGTCTAGTAGGGCAGCGTCTGCCTTAGCTAATCCGTTAATATATATCTACGACTTCGCTAGATCTTCTATAATATCTGTAGTAGAACTATTGTCAGCCTAGAGAGTTAGGATTTTGCATGCTACTACCGATATGTGAACCGTTAGAGACCAGCGCACTTATATTATATAATACAATCGCCTGCCCTTTAAGGACCTGCTGTATGTTGCCGCTAGGGAAAGTAGTGAATTTAAGGTAGTAATTCCTAGGAGACTGATTAAGCTTAACTATAACAGAATACCGCTAGCCAAGCTCTATATAAAGCACCTAACTTAAATTAGTAGAAAGTACGTTATAATACTGCCAAGAGATACTTACATTTACCTCTTATAGCTTAGTATAAAAGCTATCGGCAGCATAGACAAACATTAAATGCCTATCCAACAAGACCCTCAGGGCACTGACGGCACCAGAATTGACTAAGTTAAGAGCCAACTAACCTCTTAACTAATCCGTAGAGATGACTAGCAAAGGCGAGGTCGTATTAGTACAGGTCTTAGGCGGCAGTAACGATATATTAAACCCCGGCTTGAACATTATAGGCGGCATACAGCCACGGGGGTTTAAAGAGTCCATTCCCGGCATATCAGGCATCCCCGAGGATGCTGGAGAAGTAGAGTAGTCTATTAATATAGTAGCAGATAGCCGTAATGTGACCGGGCTCACAGGTGACTCCATAGGCATATCATATATATCACGTCCTTTTAACATGTCCATGCTTAGCATATCCGATATATATTGCATTTCGGAAGTAGTCGTTAATGTCCCGAGTGCTATAGTTGTCTTTTTTATCTCTATTCTAAGCCCTAGTCTAGACTTAAGGGCGCTCTTTAGGAGGCACTATACCTTTCCTTAGCTATTAGCCAAAATACTATTAACACATAACAGGAAAGCACCGGTCTTTATATATCGCGCAAATATAACATCCGAGAGTTTATATATCCAGTCATTTAGAAGGACATTTATTACATTTCGTTTAGCAGCTAGGAGCGCTATAAGCTCGTCCTAATCTTAAGCCAGTGTCGCGAATGGACGTTGGCGTGATGCGGCCGGTCTGATGAGAAGTGGACCGCAAATGGCGTCATTATAATAGGCACGGAAGTGAGAATAGTACTAGAAAAACCTATACTTAGATGCCGTAGAAAACCGATAGGTAAAGTTACCCCCTAGAGGAATAGGGTCCTACAGATTTATTCAGTAAGGCTTAGTATAATAGAAAAGAGAATACTCAGAGGAGGTTAATCTAACCTATGTAACACCTGGCATACTATCTATATAGGGAGTTCCTTGCTGTAAGAGTCCTAGTTCAGGGAATTGTTTTTAGCGGCTATTTAGTGCAGTACCTCTAATCAGGGAGATAACAAACCATGCCAGTAGATAGTGGTCTTAACATTCAAGTCGTTCTAGACAAAAATTTCAACATCGTCCCCTTCATCAACGTCAACCAAAGGCCCCGGCTACTAGCCATTAATGAGATACACTTCGCGCTCGAACCTATCTATATGGCAGTTAGTGGCACTGGCTTAAGTGTTTTATTAAGTTTTTAAGGCCAGGTAGTCACATGCCTGGAGAGTTGAAAGCACTGTAAACAGTAAAATTAAATTAGCGTAAAGCAGCTCTCGCGCCAAAAGCGTAGATAGCGACAACAAGAGATAACATAAGCATCTCGGCATTAACATGTATGTAGTCCTACTGCAGTCGTATACGCGGTAGAGATTAGAGTTAATAGGTAATATACTGCGCTCTGGAATCTAAGCCAGTCCTATATGAGATATTGAAAGGAGCACGTTAATGTAAGTTTTTAAAAGATAACTAAGAAAAGTAAAAATAAAAAATATAAAAAAGTTATATATATCGAAACGCTATGAAAAACACTAGAGAAGAAAAAGAAAGAAAGAAAGAAAGAAAAGGCGTAGGGGCACAGGAAGTTTATAACCTTACGGCTAAGCAAGAAAATCACCAGGCCCAACAGCCAAACGGAGCCCCTATAAGGCCAGATCAGTCAGGCCTATTAGAGGGAATAAATAAACACAGCTTAAAGAGGTACCCAAGACATATCTTACAAGCTGTTCTTGTCTAGAATCGGTACTATAATAAATGCAAACCCCTATTAATTTATATAAAGATACATATAGTATGCAGGATTTATACAGCGCTAATAGAACTACACTCTGCATAGCCCCCTGGTTGCCGGGGTTGGCAAGCCATAACGCAAGCACCTTTTAACCAGCCATATAGTCAATCCGTAATTCCCCTGCTAGAACGCGGCATTTGTGCGGAGTTTAGTGCCGTCTTATTTTCATAGAAGGGCAGGATCCGGCAGACGGCAAGTACTTATTAGCTGGCCCGAAGTAGGCCCCTAACGCCGCAAACTCTATATCTACCTTAGACTATAAGAGGTCTAGGTGCTACAATCTCCATATTCTATAGAATATATCCATCCACCAAGTCCATGCTTACAAAACCCCAGCTAGTTTAACTCCTAATCCTCAAAGCTCTGTTTTAATAAGCTATTAGTGGGTTTTACTAGAGGTAGGGCAGGTAGCCGCATAGAAGCTAGTGAGGATCAAGATAACAGAGAGCTCTTATGCGTATTATATAATAGAGAGTAGAATAGACAGAAACTAAAAGTTTACAGTACTAACATAGCACATACTTTCTTTTTAATACAGGACTATATAGATCTTCAATCTATTACTATTTATTTAGTTATATATTATGCATTATTAACTTTAATGTAAGTAAAGGCAGAGGCAGACTGCTCCTGTAACAGTTATGTGCATATCTTTTGGCAGTTAGAGTTGGCTCTTAGCTGACTTCACTAGTGCTGCCAGTAGCATCCGAGCCCGAGCTTCAGAATAAGGAAACAGTCTGCTATAATGGCGGTAGACTTATTAAATAATGCAGAGGCCTTATAGTATCTAGTGCCAGGATTCCAGAATTGCCTCTAGATAAGCTTTAGTGCTAATTACTTAAAAGGGGATGCTATATAAGATTCCTTAGCATTAACTTAATCTGCAATAGAACTTATCTTTTAGACTACCTTCTACTGATGCTAGCTTGACTATGCTAAGCTCTGCCTTAATATACTAGCCTTATGCAAGGGCAAGTAATTACATAGTTTTTACTAACTGCCCTGCAATATAGCCTAGCATCTCCTAGCTACCTTTACCATTCTTCCTACCTAGATTTACAGTGGCCTATATGCCAGCTCTCTTTAAGACTTTAGCTATATCCCTCTTAATGTTATATCCTCCTAAGAAGAATAACCAGACTATGTTATAAGCATGCTATAATAGATGCGGGATTATATACTTTTATTCTGCAATAACGTGTTTATAGACTAGCTATTAAAGTTTAGAGTTAGGGTCTTTTCAATATTAGCCCACAACCGACCACGTAACGCAGGTATGCGTTTAACTTGTGCAATTTAGAGTTTTATTTCCTATATATAATATAGTATAGTAACCTATTTACCAGACTTTACCTATTGTTCTCGTTTTTGTAAGTTATCTCTATCTAGCTATATTAATTTTAAGATTTTTAATTAGGGGGGAAAAATAATCCCTGCAAGCGATAAACTCTAAAGATATCAGTTAGGTAGACTGCAAAGAGAATACAGGAATAGGCTATCAATGCAAATAGTAGTCTCAGGGAAGGACAGACAGACCCAGGGACGCGTTCTTTATCTTAATCCTTAGGATTTTCCCCCTTTCTTTCCTTTGCTTTGCTTTTTCCTTAACCTTAAGTCCTCTTTCCTATGTTCTAATTGGCTATAGCATAAAATGGTAGTTTGGCACTGGTAGTTTGGCCCCCCTGCCTGCATCCTAGACCCACCTTGCATGCCCATTGGTCCGTGCCGAAAATCCCGAATGGTAGTTTGGCCTAAACTACCACCGGCCTCGCGGTTAGGATTAAGTAGTGTATTAGGCAAGTAACTGATATGATAATTGCAAGGCTGCACGATTAAAGGGCTAAAACTGAAACTGCGGGACTTATTGGCCGGGAAATCATTAGCTCCAGCAGGCTCCTTGGGGCCCGTGCGGGGGGCCTTTATGTTGCTTATAGAAGCTCTTATTATATAGGAATCGACCTCTTATATTTAATCGGGATCTGAAGATATATTCATTATTTGAACTGCCATAAATTGTATAGTAATTTAGCTGTGAAAGGTTGGAAATTGAAGCTTTTAGTACCCCGCTTATACTGCTGTAATGATAGAGATAAGGTAGGGCGGGGTACAGATTGGAGCTCCTTGAGCTCTTAGATAAGACAGAATATTTTTATATACTTTAGAACATATTACTAAAAACCATTGCCGAAGAAAGGCAGACCGGAATCTATGGCTTTTTGCTATCTATATGTTTGGTCTGTTCTTAAAGCCACGTGCAAAAGTGTAAATAGAACCCCCAGTAAAATGCACGGCCTTCTAAGTTAAGACATAGGGGTGATATAAAGCAGAAGGTTCCATCAAATCCTTAGTAGCTTCATATATACCAATCAACATATAAATGATCTTTATATATATTATCTTTAGATAAACTTTTCGTATAGATAGTACCTATATCTACCTTCAGTTAGAGGGCCGTGACCGGGCATATATATAATTAAATAATCTATATATAATACTAGCAGGCTTACCCGCAACAGTTCACGCGTATATAATAAAGTCAGGTGCAGCCCGTGGAGCTCCAATAGGTCGCGCCGGCTATTTTCTTAATGCGTAAATTATTATCCCATTCTAAAGTACCTTAAGGCATTCCTTAAGCGGTTTCAGTCACGAAGTCAGGTATATAATACAGAGGAGCTATAGCTATTAATGCAAGTTCGATATAATGCTTTATACATAAGGTATTAGCATTCGCAGGCTTAAGTCATACTTATATGTGATGCCACCTTGTTTATATTAGACTTTAATAGCTTAAAATCATATAAGTTCTTTATAGCTTTAAAGAATGCCTTACTGTTCTGCTGAGAATGTTAGTAAAGCTAGTTAGCCAAGTGCAAGTAGGGGGCTGCATATCCGGGCTAAGGTCACTATATGTCTGCCATAGCCACCCCTAGAGCCCGATTTTATTATTAGCAAATAGAATACTTTAGTTATATTTCTAATAGTTAAGGGATATTGAAAAGAATAAAAATCCTTAATAATACTACTTTAATACCGTTACTAGATGTCGCCTAAGTAGCAGGCATAACTTCTAAGCCAACTTTTCCGATATTCCTTACTATATATATTAACGTATATACTAGCATATAGGTCGATTATTCCAATAGGCGAATTACTAGTGCAACTATAACTCTAACTGCTCGAAATGGCTTAATCTTAGTGGCTGCCCTGTCTATATTCCTTATCCTTATTAGAAGCCAGTTCTGGAGCATTCTGAGCTTTATTATTTACCAGATAAACGCAACAAAAAAGGCTACTAATATACTGCACTTTTAACACCAAGCAATTTTTCGCAATGCCAGCATATTAATTGGTACTGCTTGAGAACTGCTGGCGCTTCCATTCCTATAGCGGCATCGATAAACAGGGTCAAGAGACTTCTCAATAACTATACTTAGGTCGTGGGCATAGGCTTTCCTTGCTCTTACTAACTTCTGTATCTAGTCTATAGTTAGACTCTTTTTATCTGCTATTACCAGATCTGCCAGAAACTACATTTTAATCATGCCAGGAACTTATAGGATAGTATTTAATAACATATCTAAAACCGGCCTTTTAAGCAAATCACTTGGCAAAACCATCATTGCAGACACACACGCACGAGGTTATTATAGAAGTAATAATAGCTCGGCACAATATAACTTATTTATTTAAAAATAAATTACATAAACCGAAGATGCAAATGCATCTTGCGCTCTCGGGAATGGCTTCTGCTCGGCTACACTTAAATTTAATACCAGATACATTAACTCTTACTATAACCTAGGTATTAACGTACCCTTAGAAAATAGAATTTATTACTGCAGGGTAACTAAATATGCCGTCGTTAATCCTAAAGTGGTCCGAAATTTTATAAAGGAGACTTACACTAACTATACCGCCTACCCCATATATTAATATTATCTTGGCAATAGCACAGCTCCTAAAACACCATTTACCTTTAAATATGACTTATACCTGGCTATCTCGGATATTAGATATAGGTTAAGGTAATTTCAGTCACTCGTATTTCTCTATATCGCTAACACCTTCATTAGCAGCTCGATAAGTCAGTATGGCGGAGATATTAAGGCCTCAAGCTGGCTTCCCTCAGAAGAATTCTACCTGCCAGATGCAGATCTTACCCTCGTCTGGCTACTTCCAAATTTTGTGTTCTCCATAACCCCTATTAATAACCCATTTTTTGGATTTCATCCAAATAATATCTCAAAAAAATTCTACCAACCCAACAGTAAGTCTTATCAAATACTAGAGTGCTAGAGCTAACTGGTAACAGATTTAGTAAACATCATGGCTTATACTAATCAATATCAAGTATGTAATCCAAAGAGATAAACGCCTATATGCTCCCTGTTAACCGCAGCCGTCCTATTATAAGATAATATTTCCAACATTAAGCTAAATCCCACTCAGAATGTCACAGCCAGACTGATACTGGCCCTAAATGGTGCTGATAGTATTAGTTCCTTACTTAGGGGAAGAGGGTCAGGCGCACTTCTTGCAAGCGAAAAGGTTGCTTAGTCTATATAAAGTTTTCTTCCTAATAACCAATAGGCTACTAAAGTTAAAAACTGGTTTGCGATCAGTTTAATAAAACTCCAGTATGCCCTTGTTAAGTATCTAACCGGTCCGACTTCTCCCTTAACGGAAAATCTTGCCCTAAAGGTTCCGCAGACATCTGAATCCCAGAATCTCTGCTAATTAATGAAAGTCCTAAACCCAGGAGGGTATAAGTCCTTTAGCGTTCTTGCCCTCGTTATTGTCCTTATTGTAGGAGGCATGGTCATTATTATAAGCATCATTCTTAAGCCCGTTACTAATTATATTTATAACAATTAGGTCACAGAGCACCAGTTCCGGAGGCTTTAGTGGATTCTCGATAGAAAGCTGTAGCTTCAGCGAATGGCATACGAATGTTCTGGGGTAGGGACCTGGGTAAATAAGGACAGATATATTCCCGTTACTACAGAAACCACGAAGATAACTTACTTCGACGGAATCCCTATTAATTTACCTAGCGTAGAGTTTAACTAGGAAATACCTAAATAAGACTTCGTTATCAGGCAGTTAGAAAGCCCAGGGCAACACCATTTAATAATACCAGGCATACCTGGCACCCAAGAACACGCACCGCTTCGAGAGCAGCTTACATAAATATAAATAAATAACATAGAGGTTAGGAAAGGAAAAATAGTAAAAGGCACCCTGGTGCTGCGCCACTAACTCGATCTAATCAAGGTTAATATAGTCATTAGCTCGGCAGTTCTGGATAATAACAATAAGGTCTAGGATAGAGCAGCAAAGATATTCTGCAAGAATAAAGCTAAGGCAGCAAAAATTACATAGTAAAGCAGATAGAATATTAAGAAAGTATATAAATCGATAGTGGTATATTTAGTAGATACCACTAATATAGCGCCGCCCAGAATGCTAATCGTCGCCAGGCCTATATCATACTAGCGCCACTAAATTTCCCATATAAATTTCATTATTAGCTGCCAGCCAATGCAAACAATAATTGCCAGGAGCTAAGGAAAATAAAACTCACATAATAAATTAATCATAATTATTATCTTTAGGCATCTTGCTTCTCCCCGGCTACTTAGCTAACTTCTTAAAGAGTATTAATGCGATATAAGCATAGGCAATATCTGTAAACACCCCACTTCCAAAGATAATTCATATATATATATAAGTTAAAGTTCTTATACTTTTCTTTAATTATATTTATACCTCTAGCTCTGCTAATAGTTCTATTAAGAAAACCAATAATATTACCACAATAGATGTCTAAGTTTGATTGTGATATGCCAACTACCAAAATTCTATCCTTACTGCCATTTCTAAAGATTATGGCATTACTATCAGCCCGCTTCCTAAGGACAACCCTATCACTTCGGCAGTCGGTTTTAATCCGGCTTAGTAAAGAACTTATCAATAGTACCAACTAAACTAAAGCAGATTTTAAAATTACTCCATTTATATTCCCAGAGTCCTTTACTAAGCCCTAAAGTATATAGACAATACGCAGACGAAAGGGGAGACTCGGCGCCAACGGAGAGCAGCGACTCCTCTCATAGTGGGCTTTCTAGCGACGCCAAAGCTCGCATCGGAGCTAGTGCGGCTATCAGTGCACTTGCCATTATCGGATTGCTGCTATTTCAAATAGCAGAAAATAGCCTATATAATCATCAGCACAGATATCTTATAGGCAGCACTTGGCGTCTTAAGACCTTTTGTCTCAGCTTAACCAGTCTCCTAATCATCGGATAAGGTCATTTAGCCAATAGCTAATATATTGTACCTCAACTAATTGCCAAAATTGAGCCTAATAACTAAACCTCTGCAGCATAATATAGCGGCAAGATATATTATAATAGTAGGTAGGCAAGAGCATCCTATTATCATCTATACTTATTCATCTTTTCTTAGTAGAACTTCGTCACTAGACTGTAAATCTCTATAAAGATCCTTTCTACTTCGCCTAATAGATATTGCCCTCTATATCCCTATTAACCTACCCCTCGCAACTCTATTTTTTTCATTTTCCCATCCATACAACAAACCAATTACAGCATCCCCTTTCACTAAATTCCTCTTTCACTTAACTCCCTCGCTGGCCCTATCGACGCCAGGTCATTTCCCACACAAATTATGCTATCTAAGGTACCTTCCAATCCGATAGGGGTCTCCTCTTTCACTAAATAAGGACCGAGGCATTATTGCTAGGGCGGCTAGTCTAGATAACGAAGTATAGGCTAAATGAAAAGTAAAGGACAATCTGTAAATACCTAAAGCGGCTATAAAATAGATAATAGCAGATATAAATATATCTCTAGTAGGTTCCTAGTATATCTAGAAAATTATTAATAGTTAGAAAATAGCCTTAAATAGATATAACTAAAGGCTAGATAGGAGAAAAAAGGCTAGATTAATATCTTTAATATCTTTAGTATAATTCCTATTATAGACTTTATTACTTTTATTAGACTAGTTCTTAACTTCTAGCTTTTTATAATTAGCTAGATAATCTTCCTTATTTCTATTATTATCTTTATCTTTATTTTTATTATTATAATTATTAAACTTATCTTCCTCTTTATTTAATATTTTATTTAAGTTTAAATCTAAAGATATAGTATTATATTATAAAAAAGAGATTAAATATAATATATAATATATTATAATAGTTTTATTTTTTTAAAGTTATAAGTTAAAGATTTCTTATTATTAATATATATTAAAATTAAAAACTTTAAATATATAATAAATAAACTATTTTTATATATTAATATAGTTTCTTAAATATCTTATAATCCTAAACTTATAAGGCTAAAAGTTATCTTTTTAATATATATTTATTTAATATTAAGACCTATATAAGGTTTTTAAGAGTATAAATATTATATAATTAATTATAAGATTAATACTATAAAGTATAACTTATAGCTAGGCTTCTATAGCAGCCAGACTTTAAAGTAATTTATTATATTATTAACCTAATAAATAATCCTTATTTTATGCTAGTTTAGGCTTTTTTATTATAGCTATAATAATAGTAAGTAACTAGTTATAAAATAAGCAAGATTACCTTATATATTATAGCTATAAAGTTATTTTATTTTATTTAATATTATAATAAACTAATAGATAATTATAATAAAGCTCTAAAGGCTATATATTTAAGAATAGCTTAAGTTACTAAATTAGTTAAATAATATTATATAATATAAGTATATAGCTATTAAGGATAAAGGTTAATTAAAAAGGATTAAATCTTTATTATATATACTAGACTTATTTTTATATCTCTATAGCGCAATTATAAAATATATATAGCTAATATATTAATTTATATAAAGGCTTTTAGGAGGTAGTATTATTTTATGCTATAAAGATAAGTCTAGCTATAAAGGTTATAATAAAAGAAGAGGCTAACTAATAAGAAAGTATATTATCTACTCTTAATTAAAAAGCCAGCTAGAAGCTTAATAACCCTATTACTTTTTTAGTAAAAGAGGATATATAGGGGTATAAGCTAATAAAAGACCGCGAATTTCCACTTTCACTAAAAGTAAGCTAGATAAAAGGGGTATAGCCTTTTCTCCCTTTATACTTATTTCTTATTTCTTTATATCTTAGAAAACCTTTAGTTTTTTATCTTATTAGCTAGATCTTAATTAGAAAAAAACACCAGGGTAAAGATAGCTTAGATAGTTAATACTAACCCTATCTTAACTTAAAAAAGACTTAGTAAAATTAAAGTTATATATTATATATACTAATAATAATAAAAAGAAAAAGAAAAAGAGAAAGATTTTAAAGTAAAAGGGAATTTACTTCTATAAGCTACAGGCAATAATTAAGCTAAATAATAGTATAAAATACCTATTATAAATTACAATTAAAATGCCACTTTTCTACTTAATAATTATAAATAATAGAGGGGAGTATAATAGGTGCAAAAGGCTTACTAAATTAACTATAATAGCAAAAGGACTTCTAAAGTGCAAAAAGCACATTTAAATTGCAAGGTATAGATAGTTAGAGTGTTAGAATCTTTCTACTCTAGGGGGGTATATTAAACCAAAGCAGTTAAATCTTCAGTGCGTTTTAACCAAACAAACCTTAGAATAAGGAAAGGCAAAGTCACCTAATAAGCTATATCTCAAATAGGAAAAGCGCAGTACATAATCCCAAAATAAGGGGATAGAAGTCAGGCAGAATATAAGCAACATATATAATTTCAAGAATTACTACCTAATTTAGTTTAACAGATTGTATCTTAACTAGATCTGCCGCTCCTTAACCGACCTCTGGTCGAGCTTTTCCTCCTATTAAGGGAAATAAGCTGACTTTTGTATACTAATAGCTTACCTCCGTAGATTGATGGAAGTAGGGCTGACTTTGAAAGTTCGGCAGGCTAATAGAGTTTAATGCTATTTGCCTAATAATTCTGATAGGGCAATGCTACTGCATCTGCTGCATATAATTGTAAGGGGGGCATTATGCTTAGACTAGTATATACTAAAGTTACTTAGGTTATTATATAGTAGTTATAGAGGCAGTAATGTATTTAAAGCCTAACTAATGTATATAGATAAAAAGGATGTAATTTTTTAAAGATATTCGAGGCAGGGGCTTAGCGCACGGACGAAAGGTATATAAAATACTAAGAAGTAGGGACGCCATTGTATGCAGGGCCTGGAGGCCGAATAAGAGATACGCATGCTTACCGAGCAGATCGCACTTAAGAAGGGGATTATTACGAGAGGATTATTATTAGTAGGTTGCTCGTAATAGGTATGTTAGATAATAGTAGATAGTTAACGTTAATAGAGTACACGCCAATATATTCGGCCATTATCAAGGTAGCCAACTTTTTGGTATTATATCAATCAATATTAGAACGCTAGCAGGAGGTAGCATAATTATAACAGATAATAAGCTAGAGGAGGGCAGAGGAAGAAGCATGCTCGGTCAGGTTAGGGCATGGGCTAGCTACTTATATCTAGATCTGAATCTCTAGCCTCACTAAGCTAAGCCGTTTTATAGCAGATAAACCGGACCTTTCGGAAATATCAGTTAAAATTAAAACAAGGGTTATATTTGGGAAGACCTATGACTGCCACCTTTTCACCATTTCCAAACTTATCGGCATAACCACTCATTTCCATCCAGCGCGAAAAGCAAGATGGCGGCTAAACCGGTAAAAGAACCCGTTTACAAGCGCCAACGGGTAGCCCAGGCATGCCAGCCATATCATACAATAAAAGCCAAGGCACATACGCAGGCAATCCCATTTAAATTTGCGCTATCTAACCCTCCGCTAAGTGTGACGGTCAGAAGCCTGAGTGCGGCCGCTATGTGGGCTATAGCTTCACTTATCTCTATACTAAGTGCAGGTTCTCCCAACGCCATGGCTTGAATAACGAAGATGGCCATAATAGAACAAGCCTCAGGGCTATTCATAAGCTTCAGGATGCCATTAATGGCTACAAGAACTTAGTTCATCAACTCTTATCTAAGAAGAAGCAGGATCACTTTAACTCAAAGGAATTACACAAGACAGTAAAAGACCAAGCCAAAAAGGCCCTCAATCGCATCATCTCTATCACAGACTCCCGCACCGGTGACATTGATTCTATCTCCGATCTGGATTAGGTATCTTATTTAAGACCCTCACAAAACCAACATCAATACTTAGGAGAAGTTAGCAATATCCATTTCTTTAATCTAGTTAAGGGACTTTTGCAGACCTAAGACTTATCTAATCTAAAGCAACACTTTAACAGCTATAAACAAGACAGAGAAATCTAGGAGACAAATAACAGAAGCAATAAATCTACCGCACTCCCTAAACTAATTAAAACGAGAGAGCTTATCGAAGTATACTTCTTGATAATCCATATTGCTTATCCTTTTATCCCACAATCTACTTTCATGGCCATCTAGGATGAGTTCTAAAGTCTTGCAAGGGAAGATAAAAACCCTACTAATATAACTAATCTCGCTATCCTTTATTAGGACCCCTATATTTATATCGTCCTTTATAACACTAATCCATTAACTGCTATAGATGTTATCTATGCTATTAGATTATATTATACGTTATTTCCTAGATAAGATTCAGATTCACAAACCTGCCACAAGCGCTACTACCAGCATGCCATAACCTTAGCTTCTGCAACAGCGCATCATCGCTCTATTTACTAAGTCTCGCTACTCCTTATACAATGCTTCTACCTGCTTGCTATATGTAAAACTAATAGGTCAGTCATTTTAATTAATACTATAGGAGATTATCTTCTAATATAATAACAGTTACTAGACTACACTCAGACAAGCAGTCCATATTGCTCAAAGCATAGGCTTACACGTAGAATCCCCATATTCCAAGACCTATAGTGCTACCGAGCTAGAAAGGAGATAAAGAATATAGTATTCGATATATATTCTTAATCGGTTACTTTCTCTCCAGTTAGGGAGACCACCAGCCATCCATAAGGAGGATTATAGCATGGCATTACCATCTCGATATGCCAATAACGAGATTAATTAGACTTCCAATACGATAGAGCCCGCTAAAGAAGGGCTATCTACAGGCAATTACTTCATTACAGTCATTGCCTTCTCCTACATCGTAGGCTATATACTACGCGATATTTACAGTCCAGCGCATATAAGACCTATACCTGAGATAATGCTAAGTACATAGATATTAGACCGAGAGCTTATTGAATGGAGATTAAACTTGCCCCAAAAGCTGCAGTTCGATTTAGGCCACGCATTTAACCAAAACATCACATTTAGACAACAGGTTATCCACACTTTGCCCTCTTATTTATCATCGCTAACACAAACTTATAGAGAAATATGCTCGCAATTAAATTCCACCACCTATAAGCCCTCATTCATCATCCATACCTATATTACCCTATCCTGCAACAACTAGATAATCCTTCTACAGGTTTGCCGCAGGTAGACTGGCCATTAATTGCTCTTTTTAAGAAGACATGCATTAATAAAGCTCAACAGACTGCCCATCTACTTCATCACGTCTCTAATAAGCAAGATTTAGTTCACAAGTTTCCTTAGTAGCAGATAATCTCGTGTTTGATTTGTGCTAGGTCAATCTTGCTGGTCTCAAGCATCTTTTCCTAATAGCCACCTGATAACCCGAGTGAATATAATACCGAGGGCTTGCGTGATAATGCCGAGACATGTCTCAAGATCTTCAAGGCACTTAGCAGTAATTCAAGAAGTGCAGGGATAGCAAGGGACATAATTAGGGGCCTAAAGCAGTGTGGCTCCAATTGGCGCAGTAAGTATTCTATTCAATTATCTCTTCGCAGTATCTAATCTATATTAAAGAAAGGAATTACATAGAGATTGACGCAATGTTTCTTCAACAAGCCTTTCCGCAACGTAGCACCTCGCTCCAGCATTCTCCATCATCTGCAGACCCAATAGCATAGGAGACAATAATTCTAAATTACCAAAATAGTATACTCTTATCAGATACTTTAACAACCCCACAGAATTGGCTAGCTAAGATTATCGACTCTATGGCTTAGTCATCGCAGTTTTTCAGCGCAGCCCAAGGTGATGGAAACAGAATTTAAAGGTACTATAGCAGCAATTAGGACTGCTGCAATTGTCTATAGAAAATCCTCCTTAAATCTAGTCTATAATTCTTTATTAAGAAATTTCAAAGGCGAGCCTCTAAGCCAGTCTTCTTCCCAAATAACTTCCAGGAAACAAGCCTATAAGGTCCTTTAATTACACAATGCAATAGATGCCTTAAAGATCTCAAAAGTCAGCTTTAATAATCATAAAAAGCGCGGATTTTCTATGCTTAAGGTTCCAGATCTTAACAAACAGAACATTGCCTAACTATAAGATTCTACAGCCGCTTATACCACTACCAGTCCAATCATCTCGTAGAGCAATAAAGATCCAGGATAACCGGTCTTTCTATAAAACCCCCTTATACCGACTTCATGTTAGTATACCTCTCCAGTCCACCTAGCCGAAGATTCTTATAAAATTTGTCAAGCATAACGATACAGGCCGATAGTATATCCTTCTATCTTTTTATCTTCAATATACTAACAGACAGTTAGAGGATAACTCCCATCACACCATAACCCCAGGGAACACAATCATAAACAATTCATCATCATCAACCAACGCCTACAATCCTCCAGATATGTTTAAGAACGAATAAATCAAATCAAAAGAACATCAAAGTCAAGAGAACAACAAATCAAGTTTCAACAAAGTGGCGACCTAAGGGCCTATACAGAAGCCCCAAAAGGCTATATTTCGACGTTATCCTACCAGGGACCATCCTTCGCACTCGGCAGACAGAAACACAAGACCATAACATTATTCTAAGCTTAACAATCAAAATATTACCAATTTAGTTAAAGAATATAACTTAGATAAAGTAGCATCAATCGCTCTTATCGCCAATCTATACAGCCCAGTTAATAATAGGAACGGTCTGGAGCAAGCCCGCATAAGGGAGATAAAACTTAGGGATAAAGAATCCCACATCCCTAAGAATCCAGATAGACCCTTGCCCTCTAAAGAAGCAAGTCATAAGGCTTTTTCATTTACTTTAAAGCTCTATACTCATTCGTATCTTATCTTCTTCTCCATAATAGGTACACTGGCCAGAGAAGGGATAACAGCGTTACTAGTCTATCCCGGGGCTCCAGTCATCTTTCCAACCTTATAGGTCAATTTTGCTGGGTGCCTGATTATGGGGTTTCTCGCTAAAGACCGCATGTTATTTCGTCACAAATGGGGACAAAGTACATACAACAAACATATCAAACCTTCCAGGCAGAAAGAGCAAGATCAGGAAAACATCGGAACAGTCTCTGATAACTTGGCTTCGGCTTCCAAAGATAAAGACCCTACAGCCGCCAAGAAAGCGCACCTCAGCATCAAAAAGACATTACCTCTCTATATTGGTCTTTCGGTCGGGTTCTATGGCTCATTCACAACCTTTTCGACCTTTATTCTCGACTCATTTCTGGCCCTCGCCAACAAACTAGAAAATCCCTCTACACCGACATCAGAACGCAACAAGGGGTTTTCGTTCTATACGCTTGCGGCTATAGTCTTAATAACTGTTCACGTATCTTTGGGTGGCCTTTTTCTAGGTGCACATATAGCTATCCTAGCAGAACCAATCGCCCCGTCATTATCTTATCTCTTTATGCACAAGGTGATAGATCCGCTTGCCGTCGTTCTCGGTTAGGGTTATTAGACCGGAGCGGTAATTATATGTATTTTTCTACCACATAATGCTTAGCGCAGTAGTATGCTCTTCTCCATAGCTTTTGCACCTCTGGGGGTATTCACGAGATTTTATCTTGCAATTTATGTAAATAGCAAACTTCCTACATTCCCATTAGGGACATTTGCAGCCAACGTGCTTAAGTCTTTAATCCTCGCCGTGGTCTGGGATATATCCTATCTCTCTTCAATGGCTTCGATTAGGGAGCAGTTGCTCGACAGAGTCAAAAACGGTTACTATGCCGTTATTACTACTATTTCCACTCTCGCTCTAGAGCTCTCCACACTTCAACGCCAGCACGCTTATAGATATGGCACTGTAAGTTTCTTAGTGTCTTTTAGGTTAATAGTTATTATCTCCGGTAGCATCCAATAGACTCAAGGGAATTAGCCCCATTAATCAATCAGTCATCAATCACGTAGAGTCATAAGATTACGACAGCTCTCTCCTATTAACAGGAAAGCTCCCTTAACCTAGGTATAGTTCTACTAGAATCTCTTAGCATAGACAGATAATTAAGCGATTTAATACTATAGTTAAAGTTTATACTACAATCGAAATTATTTAGCTATTACCTTTTTAAGAGATAAGGTTAGGATGTAAAATCTCTCAGCTACCTCTCTAGCAGAAATGGTACTAGTACTTTAGCTAGACCTTCCAGGTCCTCTTTAATAATAAAATGCCTGCACTCCAAGGTTTTGCCATGAACATCTTAGGCATACTTCTGCCAGATTTCAAGGGGCCCTTCAGACTTATTTCGCATAGACTCGGCAAGCAATCCCGTATTGCCCCAAACCGCCAACATCGGAGTCTATATCTTATTTCCCTCCTCCAAATCCTTTTCGTCATAGGCTCTATCAACGAACGCTCCAGCTCTATAATCCTCACAGGTACTATAAATCCTTGTTTTATTGCAGTATGCATTCCTATACTCTAGTGCTCTCTCGTCAAAGTCATAAAGTATCTTTTTCCTCATCCAACTCGCTAGGGTATGTTCTAAGAAGTTCTTGCCATTATTAGTACCTTAAACCATTGTTTCTAGGAAATGGTCTGGTTAAGCGAGGAAAAGCCAGTAGTAGGCCCTCAGCCCAGCAGTCACATCCCCAAACCCTTAATACATAGCTGCAGTCAGAATAATATCAATTATAACCACTTTTAAGACCCCCGGTCATAAATCAAGTCTACCCTGTGTATTGCGGGGTAAAATAAATCAATTCTACTATAATTGAATTTAGTATGTAGTACTAGGAACAGCTCCAGGGTCAGGGATTATCAGCCAATGACCTTGCGAAACGTCTACTTTCAGCGAAAGTGAATGAATCTATAGAGATATAGTACCTTGCAGAGTAAGCCTACTTAAGATTATCCTCGTATGAATTACTACTAGCTTTTCTTATTTGTAGTTACTAATGCTAGGGCTATTAGAGCCTATGGTGCCTGCGCCAGTTAACAGGCTGACAGGTAATAAAGCAGGTTTAATTCTATAACATTTAAAGAAATAGAATCCTACTAGATTTAAAGTACATACCTCACTCTTAATACAGGGTTACAAAGGAGATAAAGTTAAAGTAAATTACTTTTAGGGGTAAGCTATACCTAGAGGCGATAAAACTAGAATTACTACAATAAGGCGTATCACATATACCGCGGCTGTGTTTATTATAAGAACATGCCCGCCCTCGTTTAGCATAACCTCCACAGGTCCAGAAGTGGTTAGTGGAACAGGGCTTATGCCAGTGCTAGTACCAGTTTCGGACTCCAAGTTAGGCACAGAACCGTAGCTCCTAGACTTTCTGCCCCTACCAGTTTTACTATTTCTACTTAAGGGGTCTGGTTTCTTGGCTACTAGGAGCAGGCTCTGTCTAGGTAACCTTCGCTAAGAAGGTTAATCTCTCTGCTTTTACAAGCAAGAGGCCACAGAATATAAGAGCTATAGGGTTATTCCCAGATTCCTAGATAATTTTAATCTTTAGATAAGCCGAAACCATAGTCTTTTCACTCTTTACCTCTTCGAATTTACCCCCCATAGTCTTAAGATCTTTATTATAGATAGATTTCTTATCTATAATTATCTAAAGGCAGGAGCCTGTACTTCTCCTGACTTTTATAAACGCTTATCGCCCAGCCAGGTATAAGAGGGACTTTAAGTTCTATATAACAGCCTTTGCAGAAGGTCAAGTCTATATCGCTTTGTTAAGAGCAAGAGGTCTCTAGGGTCTCAGGATCGATAGTAATAAGGAAGGATTCAAGACTCTGCAGAGGGAATAGATTTATATAGGACTTCTTAAAGAACAAATTTAGGCAGGCTTTATAGTAACATTATAGCTATAAGTTCTGCTTAATAAGTCAACTCTTAATAGTCTTACCCGAATTTAGCAAGGCCTTGCAGCATACATAGGCCAGATCCTATATAATTCAGTACATTATATCCAGCCCTTATTACAGTAGTAATAGGGTGCTTAATATAAGAAAGTTAAAGTGCACGTTTACATACATAAATCACGCATAAGCAGAGCTTTAATTAAAATAGGAAAGATAAGTCGCCATAGTATAAATATATAGGAATAGACTAGAGATAAATATATATATAAAGTAGACAGGGGTATGCAATAATTAGGAATAGAAGAGTAAGGAGTGCCAGGAACCTAGCTTAGGCTCCTAATAGCCGGTTATTTACAATTAGTAATAATAAAAATATCTGGCTATTAAAGTTCTATAAGACTTATCACAAAGCCATAATAATAATATAAGAACAGATAGACAAGATGCTATTGGGATAGGAACTAGGTATTAATGTTTCTGCTATTTAAGATATTTTAACCTGCTAGAAAGCGGGCTAGTTATTTATTAATAAAGCCGATAATAATCTAATAGATATATAGCAGATATTACTCTATAGGTTATAGAAGCCGTCCTTTTATAGCATATTTTTTACTAAATCCGGGCATTAATAAGTAGAGATATACTATAAGTATCTTAATACTAGTATTAAGCTTAATAAGTCTGCTTTTATAGTAATTCATTTTAGAGCTAGTCTACCTAGCCAGGGTACTAAAGTAACCCGTATTTAATACCTAAACTTAAAGCTATTTATATATAATATATATTTCTATAACGGATAAATGAGATCAACATAGGCAGCCTAACTTACTACTTGGACTTTTAAGCAGACATTATTTTCTAGCCAAAACACATTAATCAAGACCCTGCATCTATAATAATAGGATTTAATTATCAATCCTATTCCAATCTCGTTTAAATTAATAGCCAGTAGTCTAAGTCTAAAGATTAATTAAAGATTTATTAAAAAATACCTTTAAGGGGGGTTTATATTAAAGCAAATAAACCTTTATTAATCTAACGTTATAACCAAATAGTAAGCATTAATATTTAATAAGAAATTCTGCCTGCTTATTATCTCTACTACCTGCTGAAATAGGTAAGCTTAGCGATAATAGCGCGGTTTATCGTTAATCCGAAACTTTTCCGGAGTCGCCTAGCTTCTTTTAATTGCAATAATATCAATTAAAATAAAGAAAACTTAACGTTATAACTTAAAGTGCTTGATATAATAGTGCCGCCTGCTCTTCCACTTTATTATTATTAATCGTCTCTAGAGGGTATTATTAACTTCTTATTGCAAGAACCCCTATTTAAGTCTTATTACGCCTCTGCTATTTATTAGTTTTATTAAGTTATTAATTATTTTAATAGCAGTAATAGTAAATAAGGTTAAGACTAATATAATAAAGTAAAGCTTATTTGCTTTACTTATAAATATTTTACTAATTAAGTATCTAAAGATAATATTTTAATTACTATTTTTAAGTTTTTAAAACTATTAATTTTATCTAAAGAGGATATTAACTTTAAAGAAGCTATATACTAAGGCAAATTAAAGACCTACTTATATAAATTTGCTAACTATCTAATTAATAACTTCTTTCTCTTATATATAGTTTTACTTTAAACTAGCATCCTAGCCTATTACTAATACCTTAGTAATTAAAGTATTAATTAAAAAGATATTATAATTAATACTAATATCTTACTTAGCTATTATAAAAACCTAATACTAAGACTATATCTTTTCTAAAATACTAAAGCATTTAGCCAGTCTAAAAGGTGCCTGCCTTATATAAGACTAGTATTACTATATTATTTTATACAAGTTTAATAAAGCTAAAGCTCTAAAGCGCTTCTAGCAATATAGCAGAAGTAAGGCTATTAATCAAGACGGCATTCCCTTAGCTAATCTTAAGTAAAGGTTTAACTATCTAGAGGTTATATATATTCTTTTGCATTCTCTTACTTAGCTTAACTCTTTTAAAGAGCTAATAAGAATTCTAAACCTTATAATCTTACTTCTACTAACTTTATAATAGAACTCTTTAAAAGTAGCAGTACTAGCAATACTTAATATGTTTAATAATAATATTACCTACTTAATTAAGGGAATTAATAATAATTATCTATTTAATACTTTAATACTAACTTTAAGTTATTATATATCTTTTAGTAACTTTTATATCTATTTTAAGCCTATTAGAGATATACTATATATATATTATATAGGCATGTTTTTACTGCCTAGTCTTATAGAAGATATCTTAATTACTTAAACCCTTTTCCTTACTAAAGATAAAAGTATTAATTTACTATTATCTTAATTCCTTACTATTTATTATACTATTATATATATCTTATACCTTTCTGCTATAGGTAATTATATTAATAATATACTAAGTAATATTAAGGAATTTAGTATTTAATTAAATAGGTCTATTAATCTATCTTAATTACTAAAACTAAGACTTAGTAATTAGGCAGTTAGAGAGGTTTATAAATAAATATATATGCCTAAGGTATGTTAATATTTAATAATAATTTTTAATTAAATAGGGGCATTATATAAATACCTAGATATTAGTAATAAGTTAGACCTAAATATATACTTTTCTAGAAATATAAATATATATATAACTACTAATATATAGTTACTATCTAAGTAATAGATATAATCCCATTCTTCCTAGGAAGTATATAAGCCAAGCTATAAGGTAAATTTAAGGAGCTTAATACCTTAGATACCATAGTGATAGGCTAGAGTAAAACAACTGCCATTAGAGTCCACTTAAATATACTTACTATTAGCAGACTTTTAAAGCAACTTAGCCTTAAAAAGTATTATAAGAGTTATTATAAGCTTCTATAGCCTTTCTTGACTTGCCTTATATATTATTAAGTATATATTATATTTATAGTAACTGTTAGAATAAATATAACTATAGAAATAATATATATTAGCTTAACTTATATATCTAGACCTAGCTACCTTAAGATTTTAGCTTATAAGGGTATAATTAATGTGTTTTATTTATGTTTTATATAATTCGCCCCTAGGGGCGAATTTTATGCATAAAGGTATGCTTTTATACCTGGTTTATGCACTTATTGGGTTCCTTTAAACACTTCGCGGCGCAGTTATAAGCAGTCTTAAAGCCATCCTTAAAGAAGAAGCATCGTTGCTCTGTGATAATGCCTGTCATATCAGCAATCTAGTATTGCCATCATCAACGCCAACCTTCTTTCATCTCGCAATAGGCTATAAATTACTTCTCCTCCTAAACTACCTCAGTGCATAGGTCGGTCAGTCCTGCTATTAGGTAACTCTATAAGCGCAATAAGGATATCATAATATATATCTTTAAATATCATTTCCTAGCCTATATGCCGTATCCAGTTTATCTATAAGGCAAAAGTTGCTAGTACTGCACTGTTATATAGTCTTATATGGCCTTCCTGTATATCCCCTAACCTTACATACTTATTAGCAAAGAGCTTCTAAGCAAGGTGTCTAATAGTATCAGGACTAGCTTGCAGGAGAGTACTATAAGATAAAGAGCTATAATTAGGATTATTATCAGTAATAACAATCCATAATCTTTAGATATTATTTGCTAACTAACTCTAAAAAGATAAGCCCTACTAGATATAATTATAGAGCCAGTATCGGGTCTGCTATCAAGCTGCAAGCTTAATCTCTTTGCTATAATTAGTTTTTAGGTAGGTAAGCAGGAGCTTCTCGCTAATAGAGCGAAAACCACGGTATTTTAAAGGCCAAGCCCTTCTATACGGTAAGGTATAGGTAAGGCGGCGAGCCATCTAGTTACAGTAGAAGTGTCTCTAGGTTTAGAAGATTTAGGGAGTAGATTAAAGGCTTCAGGCCACAACAGGCAGACTTGGGTATATAATGCTTATCGCCTGGGTAACGCGGCGCGCGTGTGGGGTTAATAGTAAAGCTGCATTTAATGCAAATTATTGCTTGCTCTATTAGGTTATAATATAAGCCGAGATTCTAGAGCATATAAAGCTAACTCGGCCGCAATGTAACAATAGCCTCTATAGGCCGCCCACGGTGGGCATCGCGAGGCCTATTATATTAATAAAGTTATATAAGCACTAAGAGGATAGGCTCCTCTCTATAGAGCCACATTTAGCCAAAGAAGAAAGAGAGAGCTTAATTCCTGCTCCCTTCTTCCTAATCGATATAACGGAAAGTACTATACGCTGCAATATCCAAAAGCGCTGTCTTTTATATAGTTAGCATAGGCCTTCCTGGAAGAAACGCGGCGTGTTTTGCGTTCTCGGTTTACGGGCCTAGATGAAAATACGCCGCACTTCTAGAAGAGAAATTTAGGGTAAAAATATAGATATTCTGATTGGTAGAGAAGTAGAAATGCGGCGTATTTCTAGTCTACATCCTTAAGTAGGGCTTAAAAGAAACGAAAGGGGCGAGGGTGACCTAGGGTGAGGCAATTGCAAACACGTATCGAATGTTCTTTAAAACTTCAGCTTGGTCGGGAAGGAAAGGCAAGTCAGCGTTCTCTGATGATGGAGAAATAATACTTAAAGTTGTTCCACACCTTAGCAGAGATGAGATAGGTAGTAAGCAGTCTACTGCACTTACTGTTGGAGAACATATAGGGTGTATGCGTATAAGTACAGTTCTTCACAGCCAGCTGCTTAAGAGCGTTTACCTCCTTCCAACCAGTATTATTAAGTGCTCGGGTGACAACCTTATAACCCTGGTTGAGGTATAGCTTGCCATCTACAGACAGGATATGCATACTAGAAATATAATTAAAGACACGCTGCTTATACTTAGTTATGTCTTTAGCCTTCTAGCCATTAGGGAAGTTAAAGTCCCAGTCTATTAGGTTAAGCCGCCACTATAGACCAGCGTTAATAGCAGTGCCTCTACTAAGAATACAGCCGGCCATCTAATCGATATTGGGGCAGGTAATGCTGAAAGAGTTGGCCTAGATCTCATTATATAGACTGAGAACGTCAAAGTGAGTTAGGTTAGTGCCTTAAAGCCAGTCTGATTTATAGGTACCGCCCTAACAGCCAGAGGATAGAGGTCCTTTCTTAATGAGGAGGACCTTCTTGCCAGCTTCACTGAGGCAGTTAGTGATGGGAAGACCACCAGCATTACCGCTAACAATAATGTAGTCATATGTCTTATCTAGGACGGGAGTCCCACTGGGTTCAGCAGTGGAGGTAGGCTGACTGGTGGCAGTAGAAGTAGGCCCCCCACTGTTACAGTTGCCATTAATAACCTTAGTAGTAAGCTTAGCCTATATATTATACTTACTATTAAAAGCGTTACTTATCAGTTAGTCACCAAAGATACTCTGCATTTCATGCTGGGTCATCCTGGCCTTATAGGGACACTCAGGGTCAATCACATTTATAACACTGTGTGCCTAACTAAGAACAGTGATGGGAGATATAGTCGCTAATTAACCTGAGTTTCCGTCTTAGGACTAAGAAGTGTATCTCTAGTAGCAGTAGATAAGAGTAAAGCTATCATTAGTAATACTAAATAAGATCTAGGTTAGAACAGCCTTACCTTTATATAGGATAGGCTTAACCTAGGCGTTGGCCTAAAGGAAGGATATAAGGACATTACCGTCATAAGGGTAGGCGAAGAGTAAGAGCAAGTTTATTATAAGTCTACTATAAGAGAGGCTACACCATCCAGTGCCCTTGCTATTAGAAGTAGTGCAGTTCTATTTAATAGTAAGAAAAGAAGAGCTATTGATTCAGATATTGCCTTACTAGGTATCTAATGAACTTATTAGCGTTTGTGGTCTGTCTATTTATAGGGAAACTGAAACTGAAAGTCATATGGGCTGCAGTCTATATGTCAAACATAATGCCAGTGTCAGGATTGGTGTAAGATGTAGGTGTTGATTGCTAAGCAGACACATACTGGGCAACTTATCAAGGTCAGCACTCTGAAACCATCCGGGACATGTTCAGACTCACAAGGCGCTAGGGCCAGAAGCCATAAGGAGCGGAAGGAAACCATAATGACGAATCACCAGTCGATGATTGGTGAAGGCCGTGGGTAGAATCTCCGTAACCGTGATCTTAAAAGTTACGGCAGAAGCAGCATTTATATACTAATAAGAGGAATTAAGGACCAATGCCGTATTTAGGTGCTACATTGGGCGCTCCGGAACAAAGCAAAATAAGGTGTGCCCTTGCAGGGGTCTGTGTCGAACGGAACGAACCTTGTCCTTTCCCTTGTAGGTGACGGAGATTCGGGCCTTGTTTCAAACTTATCTTTATGCTTACCATTAATCCGCGACAAAAAGATCGCTCTATCCCAAACAAGCTCATGGTCCTTCATTTTACAAGAGCTGAACACCATTCACGAAATACTGGCATTTCAAGTTCGTTGGCTTGAATGTATGTACTTCTGTATATTCGGTGAGCCTCGTGTCAAGACGCTTTCTTCACCTAATATCCCTGCATTACCCAAAGCGTGTCTATAAAAGTTCCGTTATTTCCAGAAGCGGCTGTCGGAGGATAATGCTCCTTTACTCCCCCACAGCCATCTCATATGGTTGAGCGGCGCGGTATTCCGAAGATAGACTCCCCTGCTCAGGCACAGCCAGCCAGATGCAAGGGAACCCTCACCCCTCTGCAATTACAGTGTAACCTTTGCGCCAAACATGCAGTCAAAAGGATCTCACGCGGGTTTATGCTCATGCGAACCCCATGCATGTTTCGCGGTCAAATTGCCGAGCGGTCGGAGAATCTTTTGATCAGTCAGCGTGTACTTATGATAGGCAACAGGCTTCTTATGTATAGGCTAAAATTAGTCTGTCTCCAAGTTCGCTGACGTTACCAAGCCAACTCCACTGGAATATCTACTAATTTCTAATAACCAGCAGGAAACAAAGAAAGGAATACCAAATAGCTATAGAGATAGATTCTTTACTGTTTTTGCAATATAGATTCTGACTTAAAATAAGTTTAATTGTAGGCTTTCTTCAATGCGATGGGGCCAACGTGGGGCGGGGTAGCCAACCTAACAAGTTGCCCATGCTAGACAGCTCTACTCTGTAGGGTTAAACTAACTTCCATGAAATGTAGTACTTAGCATGAGAGAAAAGAAAAAGAGTGAAGTAAAAAATTAATTAACTTACTACTAATGCTTACTAATATTAACCCGACCTTTAATTATAGTCTTTACTACCCCTCCAGGGAAGAGAAAACAGTAGTTCATTGCTGTTTTTAGTCCCTACGTAGGCCCTGTCGGAGGCTTGAAATGGCTTGCTTGACTGGCTGTAGCTGTAACACCACTTGTGTTAGGGTACGCAAGGCAGATTTCAGCATACACTGCATACTCTATGTGTAAACATTTGATAGCAGGAAGATACCTATATAATAAATCCCTAGGGTTAATAGGAATGCAGGGATATTAAAAATACAAACTAAATATAAGTCAGTAATCTTTAAGTCTAGTAAAAAAGTAGCGAAGATTAACAGAGTCCTGTCGCAGAAGAAAAAGAAGATGAGGACAATACTTCGCGTTGAATTTCTCGTGGTGTTAAGTTAGAAATTTTCGCTAGGCCTGCGTAGACGTTGTATTTGTCTCGGGCTTGGTTATGCCGCGACTGTCAGCCTTGGCTAGCCCGCATTGATGGTGGCTTGAACTGACGCTGACTATTTGCTACAAAGACTTCCCCAGTGACGTGGCACCAACAGTTCATTCACCGCATCGTGGCTTTTCAAGAAGAGGACTATACGTTGCTCGATTGCGATCTTCGATCTCAACTGCAAATCTCCCTACATCGCTACCCAAAGACTGACTCACGATAGACACGCTGCAATGCACGATCACGGTCTAGTGGTCCTTGCCCCATTGCCGCCAAATGGGCCACACACTGTAGAGTAAGTCACCAAAGAAACTGTCGCATTCGGCTGCTGATCAAAGGATGCGTAGTATCGTCATGGTGCATGGTTTAAATGGCAACCGTACAAAGACATGGACTCAGGATGGCTGCTGTTGGCCACGGGATCTACTTCCCAAAAAGATTCCCACTGCCAGAGTCCTGACCTTTGGCTACGATGCCAGTTTTGCCAGGAACTATTCGACGTATGGCATTCGAGAACATGCCACCATGCTGCTTGCTCGCCTTAGAGACAATCGGGAAGAACGTGACGTGAGTACGCCAAGTTCAGGCCCGCAAGCACCAAACTAACAATACAATAAGGACGTAGATCGGCCTTTGATCTTTGTTTGCCATAGTCTCGGCGGCATCGTTGTAAAACAGGTGCGTGGAATGATACCAGCGACGCCATCTTACTAACCACCACATAGGCTCTGCTCATTGCGTCAATCGATCAAGCGTACTCTAGCATCTCGAGAAGCACAACAGGAATTGTAGCAACCCCTTTCAAGCACACAAATCTACACCTTCTAATCATGTCAGGTATTCATGGGAACTCCTCATCGTGGATCCAGTGTCGCGGACTGGGGTAGTATCCTTGCCGGCATAGCTAGAATTATGTTTTTGAAACCCAAGAGACAGCTTCTCGACGACCTCAGATCGAACAGCAGGACACTCAGCGACATCTCGGAAGACTTCCTCAAGATCGTGTCTCGTTATAGTATCAAAAGCTTCTACGAGGAGAACAAGATGAAGAATCTTGTGATGGTTCGTTTCTTCTTCCAACTCTTAGCCTTTATACTGACTGCAACAGGTCGTCAGCAAAGATTCGGCCACGATGAAGATCACCCAAGAAGAAGCGATACCAATCGAAGGCGAACACAAAGAAATTTGCAAGTTTTACGGTGCTGATGATGCAAGATTTACGGCCGTGTGCAATGCAATCCGGCGTCTCGTCCCACAAGAGGAAAATAAGCGTGCGTTACTGATCTATCTGTAATCTTTTTGTTTCTATACCTTGTCTAACAGCTCCTATATAGCCTTGACAGCCGAGCAAGTGAATATTCTGAAGAGCCTGCCTGGCCCGAATGTCTACGAAATACTGGAGACAGTAGAAGAGCCATGTCAAGGAACGACAGACTGGGTTCTTTCCAATCCTCAATTTACTGAGTGGCTAACATCCACTGAATCTCATGTCCTACATGTCGTTGGCAAGCCTGGGAGTGGTAAGTCTGTCCTAGCAGCATTTCTTTTCCAGTCTGGGATGCGCCAAGTCCTGAACCACCACGCCTTCTACTTCGCCTTCGGCGACGGTCGATGCGCAGCGGCCGCTTGGGCTTCTCTGGCACATCAAATGCTCCTAGAAGACTCTTCTTTATTTTCTAAAGTTTTCACCCAGCCCGGCCAATCGAGACGTTTTTCTGCAGGTCTTGATGCCAAGGTCTGGACAGCATCTAGGTTAAAGCAGATATTCGAGCGACTCCTCCTAGAATTCAGACACTCGTCGGTATACATTATTGACGCCTTGGACCAATGCGACGAGACCATGGAGAAGTTTGTTGCATCATTCACGGCAGCCACCCAAGGACATGCAGCAGGCAAAGTAAAGTTATTAGTTTTAAGCCGTCAAGGGCTAGCCTCATCGAACCTTACTGCAGAGTTTCTCAACCTGATGAGCTTTGATCTGGACGACCAGATCGAACATGGCCATGCTATTAGAACGGCCATTAAGCAGAAAGTAGATGAGTTATGCAGGAGGCGAGGCTGCCAGCAACTAGCGGACACCATCACTGAGAAGCTTTCACTGACTGCGCAGGGCATGTACCTGCTCCCCATGATGACAGTCAGCTTACTGAAGAAGATCCACGCAACCCATCCCAATATCATGGAAGAACTAAACAGCTTTCCCGAAGACCTTATGGCTGCGTACCGAAAGGCCTTGGACAACGTGAAGGAAGACGACCGACAACTTGCGGCTTCATTGCTTCTTTGGGTTGTCTTCGCCGTCCGGCCGTTGAACATTCGAGAGCTCTCCTCAGTCATTGCATTAGATGATACCATGGAGACAGGCTGGGACATTGTGAGGAATACGAGCTTCGATCTCCTCGGCACAGCAGGCGTGATTGACCTTCTAGGACCCATCCTGAAAGTCTCAAAATCGAATGGAAATTTCTACATTTCTCTGATTCACCATTCGACACGTGAGTTCTTCCTGTCCTCCAACCATGCAGAAGATAGTTCCCGTGGCTCTGGCCCACCACGTTGGATAGTTGAGGCGTTTCAGGGTTCAAAACGACCACTGGAAACGGCAAAGGAACTGCCAAGCCGGGCCAACAGAACTCTCGCAAATCGGTGCTTCCAATATTACTACTTGACTACCCAGTCAAATACAAAAATGGGCGGCGAGAGGATCAGAGGCATGATGCAATACATAAGCCTAGGGCGCCGAGCTGAGCTGAATTTGAATATCGAAACTCATTCACCTCTTGATCTGGATCGAAGGAGTCCGGAAGACCAACTAGTCAAACTCGAAGGTAAGCCATCCCTAAGGATTTTGCTCCAGAATTTGACTCCATTATCCTCTATCCTTCTTATACCTTGCGACCTTCACGGCGTCATTGGATTTGTTGACCGAGAGACGTCCTCTTTGGCGTAGCATGACATCCTCTCAAATCTCCAAACCAAATACCAATGGACTATGGTCTAGATCTAGATAGGGATCGTGTATCCATACTAACCTGAGATGCAGACGAAAGGATATACAATACAATACTTAAATCGCAAACGAGTACACAAACGGCCTCAACGACTACGTGCACCGAAACCCTGGAATCAGATGCAGGACCTCTTTTACAAAGGAAGGGGCTATTTATGTGCGAAGAAGAGGCCCCGATGATTTGCTCAGCTGAGAGCTTATATCACCACCTTGAACTTAGCTTGGGAGGACCCAGGTTCCCAACAAGGGAGATGCCGTGGCATCAAATGTCTGCGGCAATTCCATACAAGTTTAAGCTCCCTTCAGAGTTGGTTCGGGGCCAAGACAAGGACTCCGAAGTTGGCATGTCTCTTGGTGATGACGTATTTGAAGAGTTCCCAGCACTCAAATACTGCATTGAGAACCTCCCTGAGCATGTGCGACTGGTTGAGTCCTCAAACATTCCGTTTCATAGATCGTTTGCGGCATTTCTGCATTCAAAACTCGGTGGGGACTGGATATATAGCTTTTGGGCAACTCGCGATCCGGAGCAGGAGTATGGGAGACAGCATGCTTTGCACTTCGCATCCACTCTGGGCCTCGAGCCGGAAGTCAAGTCACTGCTGGCATCCGGTATAAGCGTCAACCAACGGGATCAGTATGGTAACACCGCATTAGATGTGGCCACAAGCACAGGCGTCGTCGACATCATACGGTTGCTCTACGATATCGGCCAAGCAGACATTCATGCGAGGCAAATGGTATCAAGCGCACAGAACCCAGCTCTGCCTCTGCAGAACAACGTTTTGCACACGGCGGTGTGGTACGGACACAAAGACGCTACTGCGTACCTTCTCAGTGTCGGGGCGAAGGTACTAGTGCCCGACTTGAGAGGCTGTACCCCTTTAGACATCGCTGTTGACGCTAGGAATAGCCAACTTGTGAAATTATTGATGGATGAACCAAGTACACTTGAGGTCATCCACTTTGCTGCCAAACGAGGCCGGCTCGAGACCCTGAAGTGGCTGATTGAGGAGGAGAATGTTGATCCTTGCATCAAGACCTTCCAAGGGAATACCTCGCTCCATATCGCTGCTCAGCACAACCAAGCTGCCTGTGTCCAATACTTGGCTCCTATAACCCTGTCTGTCCCCGAGCATGTCTACAACCAAGACGGTCTACACGCGTTTCACATTGCCGCAAGGTCTGAAGCCAGGGATGTTCTAGAAGTCTTCATAAGTCGTCGGTTTTGTGATATAAATATCGTCGACACAAATTCCCGTACCGCCCTTCATCATGCCTGTCTAGCAGGGAAGGCCGCGGCAGTGGCATTCCTAATTCTCAAGGGAGTCGACACTGCACGAGTTGATACAAATGGCTATACGGCACTGGAGCTCTTCCTAGCTGAAAAGAGAATTAGATACTCCAACCAGCAAAGGCGAGAAATCATGATAGCCTTCAACGATCCACGTATGCGAGACAATCAGCCAAGAAAAGGTGGCAACCTCCTCCATGTGGCTCTAGAAGCCAGTCCCCCGGAGCAGGACGGAGACCTACCAGAAGGGGACGCAGTTATAGAAATACTTCTCGATTGGGGCTTGAATCCATACGAGACAGATTCGACAGGGAGTACGGCCCTACATCTCGCTGCAGTGTGGGGAGGCAATCGGCTTCTTCGACTGTTGGAAGTTTGTGACTGCGTTAACATACAAAATCACCTTGGGCAGACCCCGCTCCATGTTCTCCTTACCACCAGGTCGTCTTCCAGAGTTTCAACCGACAGCGCAAAAGCCCTCCTAGACCGAGGGACAAATCTAGAGCTTCAAGACCACAAAGGGCGAACTGCGGTTCACTATGCCGTACACCAGTCTGAAGCAGTATTTGTTTTAGTCACAGAACAGGGGAAGGCTCTTAATCTGCAAGACAATGAAGGGAAGACTCCACTCCATATTCTCATGGGCAGTCCATACTGGGAAGTACCGAGCCAATTCTCAAAGCTACTACGCCTCATTGAAGGAGGCGCCGATCTTCAAATCCAGGATAAACACAAGAGAACACCCTTGGATACCTACATCTGGAGAGTTACAGAGAGCGACAGCAAGTATGATGCCATGCACGACGAAGTATTGACCATACTTGTGAAACATGGTTGCAAGTTAGTTGACTACAGCGAAGCCACGAGAGTAACGCTCCTCAGGAAGCTAGTGCTCAGAAGGTTCATGGACGATGCGCGTCTGGTTCTTGCATCTCTGAGCCCTCTACCACCAGATGTTTCTCTAGAAATGCCAGAAAAAGCTTCAGTTGGCATAACTGGCATTGACCCTGAACTTCTTTTCAAGAACGTGTCTGAGAATGATAAGGCAGACTTCCTGCAATTCCTGGTGTCGAATGGCGCGTCAGATGACCAGATTCTGCCATTCTTCAAACTTTTCAACGAAACTGATTTCACCATTAATCAACCGAAACGGTCTGAGAGATTCAAGGGGGAATTGCGGCTGGCCGTCCGCCTTGCCATCGAGCGAGAACATGCTGGTATAGTAGCTTTCATGGAAGGCGTTGTTTTACAGGCGGCAATTACCAACGACCTGCCCACTCTGCGGAGCTTTGTCGAAGACTTTGGTGCGAACGCCGAAGCTGTCGACCCCTGGAACCGGACGGTGCTATCTTTGGCTGCGGAGAGAGGGAATTTGGACATGGTTCAATACCTCCTGAGTAGGAATGTGCCAACCGAGTCTCTTGACAATTTCGGAAGGACGGCCTTGTATTGGGCGGCAAGGTCTGGACGACTGGACGTCGTTAAGGCACTAGCTGAACACGGAGCGATTTTAACAGACTTTGCTGTCGAAGTCGGCGCGGTCTATGGATATGAAGCAATTACAGGATATTTAAGAGAGTTCGTGAAGTTAGGTGACAGCAGTTAAGAGTTCGAGTTGGTATTAGTAGTAATTAATAAAGCAAAGTTAATATTTATATATAAATTTGTTTAAATTCTTACCTAATTTATATACCTAATTTATATACCTAATTTATATACCTAATTTATATACCTAATTTATATACCTAATTTATTTAGCTAATTTATTTAGCTAGTAGTTTAATAAAAATATTAAAACGAAAAGGTAAAGATATTAATATTATAATAATTATATAATATAGTTAATAAGCATGTTAGCTAGATAAGCATGTTGGCTAAAAATCCCTTATCTTATATCTAAACTATTTAATTAATTAATTTCTAATTACCTAATATATTATAACCTTTAAATAAAGCTAGAATTATTCTGATACTTTAAGTGTAACAGTTGGGTTTCCAACTGTAGATAAACTAAGCCATGCTGGGTTTATTATTAGCAGGTTATATAGGGCGTTATACTAAGCATTATTAAAGTATTACGTCTCTTAATAGTAGATTTAATATATATAAGGCTTAGATTAATATAAAGAAGTTATATTAATAGCTAGTAAGCTAAGTTTTATTTAATACTAAATAAATATATATATATATTAATACTTTCTAAGTAAGAATAATATAATATAAGGTTATTATTAATCCTAAAGTAATATAATCTTAGAGTATTATTAGTTTATTAGTTATTAATCGTTAATCTAATTAATAAGATGAAAATAAAAATATAAGGTATATATAATATAAGCGCAGAGATTATAATATAATCCTCCCCTTCTAGTAGTCTTACTTTTAAGGCCTATTATCTTAATTAATATTATTCTTCTTTCTACATCCTTATAGTCCGTCCCATTTTCAGTAAAAGAGGAAACCCCTGTCGGTATTTAAGGCTGTGATTGGCCAGACAGAGAGACCAGAGTAGGGTGAGATAGAAAGCCTCTTTCAGTTAAAGCGGAGACTACTATAAGGCTGGGAAGTACCGGCGGCAGGTTAAAGTAGAAGCCTCAACAGTGTTCTAGGGGTTAACCCTTTTATATTTCATCAGGCAGCATACTATGCAGGGTAAGCAATATAGCGCCAATAAGAGTAAAGAAAGAGTTAAGTTAAGTAAAAGAGAATCTTATTATATTACGACCCTAGCGGTTCTATCACGTATACCCCACATTTTCCTCTAATTACTATAATCCCTGCTAAAGACAATTAGCGCCAAGACTCTATAATTAGAGCTAATCCATTATAATTAGTACTAATCCACTTAAATCACTACTAATCCCTTAATAACCTTACTAATTAATTAAGGATACCCCTAGTATATAGACTATATTTATTAACACTTTTATAAAACTTAGCTTACTAGCTATTAATAAGACTTCTTTATATTAATAAAGCCTAATATATATTACTTAATTATTAAGAGATATAATACTTTATATTACTTAGTATTATACCTTATATTATCTACTAATATAAACCTAAAATAGACTAGTTTATCCCTTAAAAACTATAACTATTATATATTAATAGCTCTTATTTAGGCTATACTATATAATACTAAGCAATACTAATGCAATAGTACCTATTACCTTAAGCTAGTCTTCTAACTTAAGATATGCCTAGCACCTATTACAGCAAGAGACTCCCCCTAACCTAGAGAATATTCTTATAGAAACTAATAATAAAGAAAAAGAAGAGATTACTCCTACTTATCTAAGCACCTATAAAGGGGAAGTTATAAAACTTAAATATAAGCTTAAGAGACTTAGCTAATAATATAATAATCTTTTAAAAAATATAAAAAATAACTCTAATATAGCTAAAAGTAAAATTAAAACCTTAAAAGCTAAGGTAGCCTAACTTATTAAACTTACTAAAGGACTTAAGGAAAAAGCCAAAAAAAGTAAGAAAATATATTAAGAATATATTAAATATATTATAGTACTTATAGCTACTAGAAAAGACCCTAGAGAAATCCTTAAACTATAATAGCCTAACCTATATAATAAAGATACTAATAAACTCTAAGGATTCCTTACTAGCCTATATAGTTACTATTTATATTACCTAACCTAGTTTACTATAAATAAACTTAAAGTATAATATATAATAGGATTCCTTAAAGATAAAGCACTTTAATAGTTTAAACCTATTATATATAACTATATTAATAATCCTTATAAAAAATAAAAAGATATAACTAATTATATTTATAATAACTATAAAGACTTTAAAAAAGAAATATAATATATACTCGAGATATAAGATAAAAAGCAATCTGCAGAACTAAAAATTAAATAACTTAAACAGAAGGGATTTATAGCCTCTTACCTCGCTAAATATCACTATTAGGCATCCAGACTTAACTAGAATAAGGAAGCATATATAGCCTAGGTATACTTAGGACTAAAGTCTGAAATTAAGGATATTATAGTTAATATTAGACCTAAGCCTACTAACCTAAACGACCTTACTGCCATTATAGTTAAAATTAATAATTAGTAATATAAGCAAAGATATAAGAAGTAAGCCAAATAAAGCAGTAGAATATATAACCTATAGTAAAATAATAACTATAAATAAAATAACGCTAATTAGGGGCATAAGAGATATAATAATACTTCTTATAGAACTAAAGCAGGACTTATAATTCTTAAAGCTACTTAATAAGGAAATAGAAAGCCCTAAGATATATTTAAAGTTAAATACTATAACTATAACTAGTTTAGATATATAGTATATATTTGCCTAAAACTAAAGAAATTAAGAAAACTAAATTAAGGTAAGCAAGCCTTAAAACTAACTTAAATATAGGACCCCTAGATAGCTATATATACTAAAATACTTAAAATAACTTAAAGCAGATATAATATAATTCTATATTATAAATTAACCTTTATAAAACCGCTATTAGAAACCTATAAAGGATAAGAAAAGAAGGAACTTATAGTAGAAGAAATAAAGTAATAGAGACTTTAAAAAAACAAAATTAATAATAACTATTATTACTAAAAGATAGAGGACTTAAAGTAAAAGAAATACTTTTAATAGAAATAAAGAGAAAGATAATAAAATAAAAAAGATAATAAAAAAAGTAAAGAAGTAAAAGTCTTAGGAATATTTAATAAAGGAAAAGCAATTATCCCTTAAATAAAAGAATAGCTAAGTACTTTATAATTAATTAATAATATCCTTACTAGAATAATTATATAGCAAGACAGAACAACTCTTATAGTAAACACTAAAAAAGGATATATTAAGAAATATAAAATGCCAAGATTTGCTAAAAATAAGCTTTAAAAAATAAAGGAAGCCCTCTATAAAAAACTAAAAAACTAAATAGCCCTTTAAAAGAAAGAAAAACAAGTATAAATTAAAAGGGAAGTAAGTAATAAAATATATAAGTACTACTACTAATATATAAGAAGTATAAAATACTAAGGTAAAGTAGTAAGATAAATAGCTAGATATCTCTATAAGGAAGATAAGAAACTTAAACAAGAATGGCAATAAACTCATACCCCCTTATTTAATAAAAACAGAAATAGGTACTATAATTTACTATATAAAAGGTATATTTAAGGAGTAAAAGAATATATAGATATTAATAAGCTAGAAGCTATAATTATATAAGCTTATTATATAAATAATACTATAAACCCCTTATATAAAGAACCTAGGTTTAACCTAAAAGATAATATTAGGATATTTCTTACTAATAACTAATATAAGGAAATCTCTTAGGCATCTTATAGGTATTACTAGTATAAGGCCTATAAGGGAGAAAAATTAGATAATAATTACTTTCTTATAGCTATCCCTAGAAACCTAAACTTAAACCTATATATATATAAAGAACTAGCAGGATATATTATATACTCTTAATATAATAACCTAAAAGTAGCAGAACTATATTTCAATATAACGCTATTTTAGGAGATTAATTAAAACTAATAATAAAAATACAGCTTCTATATAAGAGATATCTCCGCAAAATATTACTTGTTAACTAATAAAAGTAAACAGTTTATATAAGAACTAGGAAAAAGAAAAGAAATAACCTAACTAATCTAGCAGATTAAGGAATAAGTAATATCTATTATAAATAAAATAACTACTATAAACAGAGGAAAAGTAACCCCTAGCCAGATTATAGAAGACCTAATATAAGAAGCATAACTTAAAGAAATTATAAAGCTTTATTAAGAGTAGGAAAAAGAGTATTAGGAATAAATTAGCAACAAATAGTATAACCACCTAATAAAAGAACTAATAGTTAATAATATAAGTTTAAATACTACTAAAGAAGATAAGAACCTTAAAGCAATTATAGAATTTTTCTAATAACTATACTTAAGCAGAAGAAAGCCTACTAATATATAAAAAGCAGTATAGAGGATATATAATAAATATAAGTAAGAACTTATAAAGGAATACTAAGAGCTAAATAAGGTAGACTATATTAAAGGATATATAGATCTAGAAAAATATTATTAGAGTTACCTCAAGAGTATTAGAACCCTATATAATAAATAAATAATAAAATTAGAAAGATATAAAACATATCTAAAGATACTAGAAGAATAATATAAGGAATTAGAAAAACGCTTCTAATAATAATTATTTAATAGTAAATTTACTAATAATTATATTAATAATAAAGGATATGCAAATAGCAACTATAAATAAACCTATAAAGATGCCTTAGGAAAAGTTATATACTATCTATAATAAAGCTATAAATACGTAAAGAGCCAGGACTAGGCAAACTAGGCCTATAAAGAGCTCTAGGAGTTATAAACTAAGACAACTTAAACCGCCTAGTACTAAAAGTCCAGATTAAAGGAAAGGAGCTAAATATATAAATAGATTATAAAGCAGAAAGTAACTATATTAGACCTAAAGTAATAATAAACTTAAAGCTATTATAAAAAAGGAAAAAAAAACTATACCCCTTAATAAATATAAAAAGGCAACTTTTTAATTATAATAATAGCTAGATAGATTAAGAGGTTAATTACCTTAAAGTCTTTATTAATAGGAAAAATTAAAAAGTAG